TTATAATATGATGACCTCTTAGATGTCAAAAGCTCAAGAAAAATTTGATTTCTCAGTTCATCACCCCCTTAAATGAATCAAAATACACAGTAAAAACTTTAATATGTTATAAAAGATTTCAATTTCAAATAAACCTTCTTTTGATCTTTCTATTCATCAAAAAATTCTGAACAAAAAGCAGAAATGGCTGCTGAAAATGTAGTTTTGCCATCACAGAAATACATTACATTTGAAAATATATTAAGTTATATTTTGCAATTTTACTGTGTTTTACTGTATTTTTCATCAAAATAATACAACCTTGATGAACAGAGGAGGGTCTTACCGACCCCAAAGTTTTGAATGGCATTGTATAGCTGTACCATATTGGTTATCGTCAATATTACGGTGTTGTTGTTGTTGTTGTTTACAACAATAACTTAACACTGTTAAATGTCTTTTTTTATAGCAAATATCAAAATGAATATTTTTTTATACTGATCATTATAATATTACAATATCTAAATTACTTGTAGCTGCTAAACTACAAGAAAAGTTTACAAGTAAACTATTGGTTTTAGTTTTTAGGATTTTATTTTAAATGTATTTAGACAAAATAATATACAATATAGAATTTTTGGTAATGGCCATTTATCGATTTTGTCTGCCTTAACATAAATATAAGTAATTATCATATTGGCCCTAAATTTGATCAAATAAATGATTTAATTCAAGCGGACAGCGAGTAATAAAGACCAAAGCAGTGCAGCGGTGAATGGTTTTCTCTTGTCAGATTTCTTCAGGCTGAAGCAGAAGGTATGTTGTTCACCATGTGAATGAAAACGACATTTATTTGGGCGAATGTGTTTTAACAAAGGCAAAGAGAACAAAACATCAAAACATCTGAATAACAGTGCCAGGAAAGAGGCTGAATTCTGCTGTGAAATTACCCAGTGGGAGCAAGTTGACCCTGAGGACAGTGCAAATGCTCAGCAAAATATTAACACTATTAGTTTGGCGAGCACAATAAAAGCACTTCATACACAGTGAATCATCTCTTCTGATGCAGCCCAAAGCATTTGTTCTGACCATAGCCTATTCTCTTTGAATGCAAACAAACTAGCTGGAGATGCTTTTTTTGTCCACACCACACCAAATACTAGAAACAAACAACTATAGGTGTTGTTGATATAGGGATTGCCAGTGCATATGCATTAATGTGATCTCAAATCCCCCCCACCCCCACCCCACCCCACATCTTCAATATTATCCAAGCAACATCACATTCTGCAAAAGAATGAAACACTTTTGATGAGATAGAGAAATTGTTTTCCAGTAGAGATTTTTTTATTAAAATTTTATTATTTTTACGAGGTTTTGATAGTTCTGACAGAAAACAAATTGTCCTTGTTGGTTTGGTTCTGTTCATCCAGCAAAAGCAGTGTGATACATGGCTCTCCATCTTTTACCCAATGAATTTCTGTGACATTTCTGTTATTGTGTTTTATTTTATACATTTATTTATAAAGGCAATTTATAAACATTCAGCATAAATAGAAAAAAATTAAAATGTAGATGACTTTTTTAACTTGAATTTTATTTCCATGACTTTTGCATGAGTGTTTTTAAATTCCCTATATTTTCAGGTTTTCTATGACCGTGGGAACCCTGGTGATAAGAGCTCTTTCTATCAGCGTACAAACAGTCATAGAGGTCTTAGACTCTGCAGTGTGATAGATGTGGTCGCTGCGGGTTGTTTAAATAAGGTGGAGACTGGTTGTGAGACATTTCTGAAAACCAGAAACAACTTCGCAACAATCAGGCTTGTGCTGTCAGACTTCACTTCATGTCTGGTCTCTGGAACTCTCTCTCAACGCACATACTTTAAGACTTTTCCTGTTTAATATGAGAGACTATTTGACAATTTGAATGTCTCCATTGGAGACTTTGGCAAACTCAAATGTTTCTTCTTAAAGGATTAGTTCACTTAGAAATGAAATACTGAAATACTGAATACTATACTGAAAAAAAAAAGAATAAAAATCAACATAAACTAGTCAATGTTAAAGGTACAATATGCAGGATTTTTGCAGTAAATTATCCAAAAACCTCTAGGCCAATGTTATATATTTTGCTTAGTTGATTACTCACAATATCCCAAATGTTTCCAACTATTTGTAATACGTGAGAAAATTGCGATTTTTAACTGAGGAAACGGGGCGTGTGAGCAGGGGTGAGGAGTCGCCAGGCTATGACGTCATATCCGCGTTACCACCGGTTTCCACCAGGTTTGACCTTGTACGCAATAGTAACCATGGTGACAGACGTGGACAACTGGGTTGATTATGTGTGCTCAACAGCGTGAGCGTCTCTAGCAGGGTTTTGTTCAAAGATTATGGAACATGGCAAGCAGACTTTGAGACAAAAAGAGGACTAAAACGAAGATCAACATCTTTCGAGATGCCGAGAATTCCACGTCCGCGACTAACTTCGACTTGACAGAGACGTGAGTGTTTGCATGTTATTTGAGCAAACAGGTGAGCAAATTAATGTATATAAAACTAATCAATGTTATATAGTTCGACATGATGAAAAGTTAGAATACGATCTGTTTGTTATTCTCTAATGTTATCTAGCTTAGTCTCATACAGCCAAGAAACAACCTAACTAACATTCAACACACTCAAATGCCGTTTAATGTGATAGTGTAACTGTTAGAGCAAGTGAAGCAGCGTTGCGTTACCTCAAGTTTAATTCCTCTAATAAACTGACCTGTGTGGGAAATTCAGCGTGTAGTTCGGTAGAATTAAATGTCCTTATTCCTTTATATCCGCGGGACTTGCGCTGCGTGTGGCGCTGGTATACGTTTAGCAATCGCGCCTGCTTCATACTACAGTCAAGTTTAAAAACATCAATGTATTTTCTCATCCATAAAAGATCCATCAGCTTGACGACAAGATCCATAATTCCACTTACTGCAGAATAATATGCGCCTTTGTTATTGTAAGAGGTTAGCGACCCCTGGTGGCGAAACAATCTTGCATATTGTACCTTTAAAAATTGATTAGTCATTATTGGATGACTAGTTGACCATCATGACTTAACTCAGTTTAAGTTTGCCAAGAATTTAAAACCTAAACCAGCAAATCAGACCATCCAGACCAGGTTGGAATACCAATTTACACCAGCAAACCAGTTTCAGCTATAGCTTAAGCTGTTTCTTTCAACAGTGCAATCACGTTTTTGACATGTTTCAGAAGGGTTCATCCATTTGTGCTTAAACAGTCTTCTCTGTATAACTCTCTTTCCCAATCTTTATTCAATGTCAGAATCTGCCAGCAGATTATCTGTTGTTGTCATGGCGCTTTCCCACCTGTGCCGGTATCATGTGTCCGTGTACTGTGATGTGTTTTAGCAGTCTGCTATCCAAACGTTGAATAGTCTTTAGAATAATGTAGACCCTGCTGTGTACACAACACTTTCAACACCTGTCCTTTTCGGCTGTCACCATCTCAGTTCTTCCCCTGGATGTATTATTAGCTCAGAGCCCTGGTGAAAAATCCAGCTAAAACCAGCCAAGGCTGGTTGGCTGGTTTTGGCTGGTCTCCCAGCCTGGTTAGTTGGTTTATCAGGCTGGTTTTAGAGGGGTTTTTAACACTTTTTCAGCTGGTCAGGCTGGTCTTAGCTGGTCAAGTTGGTAGCCAGGCTGGGAGACCAGCTTAACCAGCTAAGTCAGGCTGGGAGACCAACTAAAACCAGCTACTTCCAGCTTAAACCAGCTAAGACCAGCCAACCAGCCTAGGCTGGTTTTAGCTGGATTTTTCAGCAGGGAGCTTTTTAGAGAAAAAAAAAATGTGTGTAAAAAGTTTCTCACTTCTGTCATATATTCAAAATGACTTGTTCTGCTGAATTGGTGTGAGTGTGTATGTGTTTTAAAGCGTGTCTACTGTAAATCGGTATTGTTTATCAGCACTTTTATCCTCCGAAGTGCAGCCACTCAGTCAATATTAAAACTGCTATCACAATGAAAAGTTGAAAATATGGGAAACGATTGCCCTGGAGGCAAGGCTGAATGTGTGCGGAAGAGTGGTTGCCTACAGCTAGCGTCTTCGGTTTGACCACAATTTGAACCTTCGTTGTTCAGGCTCTTTGATTAGTCTCTCTTGGAGACGGAGCGCTGATGGAAGTGGGCGGACCGTGAAGTCCCTTCAGCCGTGACCTTTCAACCCCTTCTACTGCTTTACCTAAATCCACCGTGCCACTAAACATGGGGCCTCATTGCCATGACAACCTCCCTAGGCCATTAATAAAGAGCCCTGCAATCTTTAAGTACTAAGTTTTACTCAACACTCTGAGGAGCTGGAGATTCACGCTACAATTCACACTGTTAATGTGCAAAAAATACCAGCTATTTTGTGTCACATTGCCAACTCTTTTTGCGCTTCAGACTATGATCGACTGTTTGTGATTGTCGGCGCTTATCCGAGTAAGACAGTATGATGTTTTCAGAGCTTACCGGCACAAGTGACAAACAACGTCGTCGTGTCAGCAGAGGAATGATGCCGTGCAATCTATCAAACCAGATGACAATGTTCAGCTAACACGTCTGTTATTTCAATCCGTGCCTAAACGCACAAGCTAATGTGCCGACAATTATGCATGCATGCACTCACCTCCAATGACAACATTTCAGACCTGTTTTTTTTTTTCTTGTTTCATGCACATAACTCATCGTCGACGGCCTCGCATTGAACGTGCTTTTTGTTTTATTTATCAGATTCTGCTAACACGTCTAATTTAAAATTAAGACGCATACCGTGCACATGTTTTGGGAATAATCCAAACAAGACCTACCCTCCCTCCCATTTCTTGTTGCTCTGTTGAGAGACGAGATAATACCCTGATGTTTGTGTATGCACGCGTGTCGCATTTGACAGTAATTTCTGTCGATGCTTCACAGCCGCTCTGTTTGATACGAACCCTGCATCTAAAACAGGATGTTCTTGTCTTGTATTTTCCAGGGAGCTGTGTGCAGACAATTATAGGCCTGTATGGTGAGACCATCGAAGTGCCTTGCAACAATGGAAATATCAAGCCAGAAGGCATTATTTTCACCAAATGGAAATATGTGAGTGTTGCTCTTTGCATCTGGGCTGTTACTCTGGCCTGTTTGGGTAGCCAAGCAATATACAGCTACTCTCACCATCATATTGATTTCTAATTTAATCTCTGTGTGGTAAATGTGTGTTTGTCGGTTTGCTAACGGGCCTGTTGTCTCGTTCAGGTGAAAGATGATGGCTCTTCCGGCGATCTACTCGTGAAACAGGCTGGGAAAGAGCAGGAGACCGTGTCCGCCACGGACGACTACAAAAGTAGAGTTAGCATCTCCGCTAACTCCAGCCTGCTGATCTCTCAGGGCTCTCTGACCGACCAGAGAGTCTTCACATGCATAGTGGTGTCTTTAACCAACCTGGTCGAATACCCTGTGGAAGTCAAAGTTTACAGTGAGTATACACTTACAAACAAATCAGAGAGGAGAATAAGATTATTCAAACACTGCTTTAGTCTATGATGATAACGAATGTAAGCGTCGGATCTTAAAGGGACAATGTGTAGGAAAATGTATTTTGCATTCAAACGAATTGTGCTCTCCAGCGCCACGCTTTTTGAAATGCGCGTTGCGTCTACGGTAGCCATTATGTATCAAAAAGCTATTAGCACTTCGTCGAGTGTTCCTTCGAGTGAACAGGTTTGTTATTTCAAACAAAGCAACTTGACACAACGAATAAATGAATGTTACAGTATGAATTACTGACTGTGAATAACATGAACTGTTGAAATAAGTAGTTATCCCTTCTTTATTCGTTATATTTTCTGAAGTAGCCTACATGCATTAGTTATCATCATCAACTTCTAGCTATTAATGTTCATCTGACTCTATATGATATAGTACACAACCAAACAATGGAAAAAATCTGGTAAAAAAGACTAACATTGACATACCTGTCGAAAAGAAAGCAGGACTCTTTTGAAATCTTTCTCCGACATTAACTCATGTTTTTTTTTTGTAATCTCCGGTCACGTTTCCTTTTACGATCTATTTTTGGACTTTTCTGGCGACGAGGATTTGTAATGCAGCTTTTAAACTTGTCGGGCCATGCGCCTCCGCTTCTGCTGCTTTCAGTCACGTGATGCAGGCTCTGAACGAAAACGCGCTGTGGAAATGCGTTGGCCTTGTACTTTTTGTCCCTCTCTGCTATTATAGTTTTTCAAGATGGCGGATCTACATGGAAGCCTCTGTGGACTTACCCGTCCCATGTATATAAAGATAATAAATTATTCGTTTACGAAGATAAGTCAGATAATTGGCCTGTGAGGACATATCTATGAATAAAAATACTGATTTTAAGTAAAAAATTACTTAAAAAGTTACACATAGTCCCTTTAAATTGTATTGGAAAGCAGCTGTGGAAATGTCAGATATGGGGGAGAGTAACACGTGCGTAGCCTTGATATGCTTGCATGCTTTTAGATGGATATCAGAGAAATTGATAATGCACACTATATATATACATACATACATACACAGATATAAATATAGTTATATATTAGATATAAAACATTTAAATTTAGTGAATAGCATACAGTTATCACTCAAGTTAATACTTAATTCAATTTTGTGTAAAAAATAAAAAATGTAACTTTCGTCAAAAGGAGTTAAAACCTGCAGTTGATATTGCTTGCTGTGCATTCGTCACACAGTAAATGGAAGGCAAAGTGGAGGGAATTGAATGTTGGAATACAAAATTGGTCACACTCTGCTCCGGTTGTAACTATAATGCATATTTTAACGAATGAAGTAGGTGGTCTGGGTAGTTTCAAGAATTATCTTTACTTGCTTAAACGCAATATCCGAAATCCTTGTCCTTGTAGGGACATTATATATATATATATATATGTAAATTAAATGTATACTTAATTTAAATGTAGAATCTAGATGAGAAAAACTAGCCACAATCTATGCAAACAGAACAATATTCATTATGTTGACAGTATTCATATCACCGTATGATGCTTTACCAATATACAATGCTGTATCTCTTATTGCAGAAAAACCATCAACCCCTGTAATCAAAAACAAAGCGAAAGAGCTGGAAAACGGAAAGCTGACACGGGTGAGTGACTGTCTTTACACTGTCCCTTTAACCCCTTAACTGTCACCCCCCCTTTTTGAGAATGGGGGTTAAATGCTCTATTCACACTTAAATGGTTGTAATTCAAGAATGCCTTGGAATATATACCCAAGTTTGGTCTTGTTTTAAAGAAAACACTCAGCAGATTATTGAAAAACACTTCAAAAAATGAAAGTATGAAAAAGTTATGGAAGTTTTAATTCACAGTAAATCAAATATACTGTACTATATAATTTTTATTTTATATAAAATATATATTTTACAAAATATTTTTACTCTAAAATTACTATAAAATCAAAGCCATAAATCTAACCAAGTTATGTTCCAAATTTGAAGTTGATATCACAAAAATTGAAGTTCCCATGAGATTTTGTTTAGGCGTAGTACCAAAAATAGCCACCGGGTGCCATTGAAGTCCATTGAATTTCGTTGTGTACATTCTGCCTTAATAAATTAATAAATTTCTGTCCAAATATCAATTTTGTCACAAAATTCGGAACCTTGAGACTCAGACCTTTCTGACAATATGTGTTTTGTCAAGATTAGAAAAGGTTTTGATCATAAATTATGAAATATAAGGATGCCCAAAAGGGGAGGAGCCTCATAAAATGAGTACCGTTTCTATGGTAACGCAACGTTCAATTATGAAATGGTTTTCACAGGATGAATTCTGAATTTATAAGCTTTCAAATGATACCTAATTTATGATAACTACTAAAATATGTGATATAATAAAAAAGGCGATAAAAAATATTATTATATTTTAGAGGATAATATATACATATATATTATAATTTTTAGAGGATAATGTTATACTATAATTTTTATTTTTTATTGAAAAATACTAGATTATATGTTTTATTATGAACTTTTAGCATAAAAACAGAAGTTTCAATGATTAAAAGTGGGTGCATCAACTTTTTGTGACAAAGGTCAGACCTCCTGTTATGATGCAGATTTTTTTAGGTGCACTCTTGTCATAAATTCATTAATTACTCTTCCTACATAATTTTTAACACAAAACAGGGGTTGAATATTTAATTAGAAGTCTTAGACCTTTCCAAAAATATATAATTTGTCATAATTAGATTAGGATTTAATAGAAATATAGTGAAGTAAAGTTAGGCGTCCCGGTACCGGGACGGTGACAGTTAAGGGGTTAAGACCCAGAACTTCTCCTGCTGCTGTTATTGCCTGTAGACGCCAGTGTTTGCTCCAGTACACAAACAGTGTACCGGTACTAACAATGTGCAGGGCCAAAGCCCCTGCCTTTGTTTTCATTACCCAGCACGTCTCTCCAGTAGTCTCAACATTGACACACACCTGCTGTTATCACAGTCAGAGGCGGCTCAAAGACGGTGCTAATGATAGGGACATCAGCGAATGTGGGGCGTACACACCTGATTTAAGCAGTGCTCGAGCGATCGTCACCCACGGTTATGCAGGAAACAGACACTTTTTTATTGCCTAGACTCTAGAGAGTTTGCATCTCCAACATAGAACGATAGAAATATTATTCAGTTGTGTGAGAAGAGGAAGGAGCTTTGATTTTTACTACTTGGAGCAGATACAAGGCTTCCCACGCAGTCCTTGTTTGTAAATGGAGCTGGGGGTCGTTATTTTTCATTTCCTCTGTCTATCTCTTTCTCTCTTTTTTAATGTAGTTCAGAGGCGCAAGGATCTTGGAGTCTGGCTGAGGTGGGGGTGTGGGGTGGGGAAGGCTGGGGTTGTGTATACAGCAATATGGTTTGTTTTTTTCCGTGGCCACCCACCAAGGTCTGTCGTGTTCAAAGTGCTGAGACTTGCTTAGACGGAGAGAGGGGAAGGGCACGGAAGAAGGAGACCCTCCTCTGAATATATAACATTTCAAATAGCTTCTTGTCTTGAAAACATGCAGGGTGGCTGAAGGTCTCTAGAAAGAAGAAATTGAAAAGAGAGGGGTGAATACTTTTGCAAAAAAAAAAAAGTTGATTTTAAAAAGATGTATGCCTATATTTTTCAGTGATCTTGGCAACAGTTATTCATGATGAAAAGGTTAAGGAGAGTCATATTGCTAATCTTAATCAGAATTTGCTTCTTTAAAATCATTTGGGATAAGTGAAGTCTGGATCAGAGGTGGAGAAATTCTGCTGTCACATGAAAGCATGTGTATCAAACACAAACCTCATGACCAGTGTCGTCCATTTCTCAAACTAGCTTCTCTTTTTTAGGACATTTTTGCTTGATTAAAACTTATGGATTAATAGGAAGTCAAAATTAAACTGAAAATATAAAAAGAAAAGAAAAGGGTCCCATTCTCTACAGTATATTAAAGGTGCTATATGTAACTTTTCTTCTAAAATGATTCCTTTTTTATTGCCTGTGTGTGTTTTATTGCACATGTGAATTTTTTGGGTCGGATTTTCTGATTTTCTTACTGTTACAATGAAATTGTTCAGTCTAGTTCACTGACCGTTTCCGTTATCATATTATACATTCACCTACAGTATGTTGACAGTGTTGATCATGAAAGATACACGAATAAGTTAGTGAAATGCCTTATAATAATAATTATAACTTTATTTTGTATAGCGCTTTTGAAAGGTAATTCTCAAAGCGCTTTACATAAGTGGAATTTAGAAAACACATAAAAACAGCGATAATACAAACCACACAAAATTACAAACCTAAAAACAAAATATCAAGACATAGAGAAAACCAGAAGATACATCTCATTAACAACCACCAATATCACCTTTATCCAAATGCTTCAACCTGTATCCAATATCCATATCCAAATGGTTGCAATCTGAACCCTCACCACTGTGATTTATATAATTAACAGCCAATATCCTAGTAATATATGCATAATCAGCAACTAGTTAATAGTGAGAATTGGACCCTAAACTAAAGTGGCACCATGCTATAATACTAAATTATACGAGATTAGTTTAAAAAAAAAAGATTAATTTTGCAATGGATGCAAAATGAATGCATGCAATTGCATGTCTTATTTCAAAGAACTCCTCAAAAATATAAAGAGTTAGTAATGAAATGGAAATTCTTACATTGATTGCTAAAACAATGCAGCAAGCATATGCAAATATTCACTGCCATTAGTGGGGAGAATTAATTCTTCGTGAATCCCCCAGAGAGTCCAGGATGGAAAGTGTTTAGTCAGGGCTGCTGCTCTGTTTCACGGCTCAATGGAAGCTGAAGGCTTCAGGCAGCACTCTGTGCTTGAGAGGTGATGTATCACGGTCCGGCTCCCGAAGAGGGTCCGGTGTGTTATCGCCATCAGAATCGCAGTACGGTGATTTCCCCCACCCCATCTCCCCCTCGATGTGGTTCCTCTAAATCTTTGATTTCTCATACCACCATGAACACCTGAGCACATGCATCATCCTGCTGTCTGTTCTGCTTTCCTGCCATTATTACCCTTCTCTCTTTCTGCTGATCTCTCTATCCCGGGCCAGATAGCTTGTCAGCATGTGATCCTGTCAGCGTGTTATTAATGTACAGCCTCTTCGGCCTCTGGCAGAGTTTTTACTCGACCAGAGAGGAGGAAAAGGGTGAGAAAAAGAAAGTGAAACAGGAGACCATGTCTCACAACTGTAGAGTTAAATTCTCGCTCACATATGCTCATAGGACTTTTCCAGCAGAAGTACAGCACCAGTGTGATAAAAGTACCTTGAAGGTCATGAAAGTCCCAAAGAAAAGTGTCCCAGAGTCACAAAACCTCCAAATTATGTCAAGTGTGGAAAGGACACGTCATGTGACCATCTTATGTGATACTATCTGTTATGAGTCTATAAATTGATGTGCAAGACACGAGTGAAACCGAAAGTGTTTGAGTATCACAGACTTTTCACAGAAGTTTCGATATAGTTCTGTAATACAGATGCACTATTTTTTCTTTGTGTTTGTGTGTGTGTGTGTGTGTGTTAGTTGGGGGAATGTGTGGTGGAGAGTGCCAACCCAGCGGCAGATCTCACCTGGATGAAGAACAACCAGTCTCTGGTGGATGACGGCAAGAGTGAGTTCATATCATGACACCAATTTTATCGTCTCTCTGGAATGAAGAACATTTTTAAAAAAGCATTAACAGATTGCCATGACATTTTATGTTACGTATTTGAGTATTCTCAGCTTGTCGTCTGAGTCGGACCAGTTTTGTTCTTCTAAAATAACTCTTGCAAAAAAAAAAAAAAAAAAAGGGGGAACTTGCCCCTTTAACTGTTGCTCAATTCTCGAGCTCACAGCTCACATTCTGTCAGTATTGATAGACTTGTGGTGTCAGGCTTTTCCAGTGTGACAGTCACTGTGTTTTCCACCTCTAATGACTGATGTGTCAATGTGTGTTTGTGTGTGACTGCAGCGGTCATTATAAGATCTACTGTCACCAAGGACCCAATCACTGGTCTGTCCAGCTCCTCTTCCAGTCTGGAGTACATGGCCAGGAAAGAGGATGTGACATCACAGTTCACCTGCACAGCAAAGCACAAGATAGGCCTTAACCAGGTTTCGGCACCAGAGACCTTCCCAATTCACTGTAAGTAACTTAAATGATGCAAATTATATTCCAAAGTTATCTTTTTTTAAACACTCACTACCATTCAAAAATATTTCTCAAAAAAAAAAAAAAAAAATTAAAGTCTTATACTCACCAAGGCTGCTTTTATTTAATGAAAAATACAGTAAAACTATAATATTGTGAAATATGATTACAATTTAAAAAAGCGGTTTTCTTTTTTAATATATTTAAAAATGTCTTAATGAAAAAGCTTAATATTTTCATCAATGCTCCATTATTCAGTCACATGATCCTTCAGAAATCATTCTAATATATTGATTTGGGGCTCAAGATAATTTCTTATAATTACCAGTCAGTGTTAAAAACAGTTGATATAAAGATCAAAAGAACAGCATTTATTTGAAGTAGAATATTTTGTAACATTGTAAATCTATTTCTTGTCAGTTTCTTGTCAACACGGGGAAACCCCATGTTTTTGACGTGGGCATGAATATTTGCTTGAAGGGGAAATGAAGAAATAAATAATTGTATTATTGTATTATTACTAAAAGCCATTACATTACATTTAGCAAATTAGCTGAACTTTTTATCCAAAGCGACTTACTAATGAGGAGGCAGTTTATCAGCCACGCCCTGATGTTATTTATCATTATTTATATATAAAAAAAGGGGTGCACAACAGTCATTGGGTTGTATGGTTTTGCGCACAGCCAGCAAAGACAATGTAATAAGAAATATACAGTATCTGTTTATTTATGAACCATACCAGTGTGTGCATTTTGAGTCATCTTATGTTTTATTTCATGGTAACCAGTCTTTATATCATCAACTTCAGTTCAGGTAAATTGTTATTAATTGTGCCAGTAGATTCAGGTTACTTTTTACTGTACATGGCTACTTGTACACAAAACAGCACCCCCTAGAGGCGGATCTGCCTTATTATCAGCCATAGAGGGATGTATGGGATCTGTGTATCTTTACATCTCCCAGTATATGAAGCAATCTCTCGAGTCCTGAACATTGAATTGAAGGTCTCAGCTGGTAGCCAGGCTCAATTTGATGTTTTTTTTATTTTTATATCTAGGTCTTGTCAGGTATATAATGCTGATAACTGAGTCTGCTGTAGTGTCTCTCTCTCTCTCATCTGAATGCTGAGAGGTTTGTTCAGTGCCTCAGGGTTAAGATGTGATGTGAAATGCTCTGTGGCTGCTGGGCAAGAAAATGAGGGCCAGAATGAGAGACTGCAAATGGTTGTGGAAATGAAGGCGTTTAAGCCCCTTGGGGGTCTCCAGAATGGTGCGGCGTCTTGGAGAATGTTTTTTTTAGTTGCTTGCTGTTGCTACATGTTGAAAATTCACACCTGCAATGACAGCCATCTTCCTCTGTCTGTTTTTTCCTCTAATGTTTGTTTTCTCTCCTTTCTCCTTCAGACCCCACTGAGAAGGTGAGTCTACAGGTTGTTTCTCAGAGCCCCATTAGGGAAGGTGATGATGTGACACTGAAATGCCAGGCGGATGGAAACCCTCCTCCCACTAGCTTCAACTTCAACATTAAGGTGAGAGATCGCTGGCTGTGTCCACAGCAACCACATCTGTCTTTCATCTCCAGGGTCCAGCTGTCTGCCCTCTATCCTTCCCTACAGGCTAATTACACCTTCCCTCTCTCTCTCTCTCTCTCTCTCTCTCTCTCACCATCTTCAGGGCAAGAAGGTCACAGTGACAGACAAGAATATGTACACTCTGACTGGCGTTACCCGAGACGACAGTGGCGTGTACAAGTGCTCCCTGCTTGACAATGATGTAATGGAGTCCACTCAGATCGTCACAGTGAGCTGTGAGTGGGGAAAAAGTTGCTCTCTTCTTCTTTATTTCTCTCCCATCTCTTCCTAAGGGCACCTACTCACTAGAGAAAGACCTGATGGAGCGTTTGACAGATATGGAAAAATCTTTTCAGGTTTTGAAAGACTCAGAGTCAGTTTAAAACCAAGCAATAATTCAGAGAATTTGAGTTCCAAATGCATTCTCTGAAATTCAGTCTAAGTTTCCAAATGTTTGGTTTCATGATGGAGCATCACTTTCAAAGTGGCCAATTCCACCATAATCAAGATAGCACATTAAAGTGTTACGGTAATAGTAAACAAGTGCATATAATATTTTTTTTTTCGTTTGATATATCCACCTTCACAAGCTTTTAAAGCTTTAGGTTAATGCTTAGAGCTGAAGAGATGTAATCCTTCAATAAGAGCCTTTCACAATTTGGAAATATTCTATATATCCTAGATAGTGATGTAGTACTCGAGTCTCGGACTCAAGACCGATTTCTGCTTTCTCGGACTCGTCTCGGACTTGTTTCTTCAAAGACTCGGTCTTGACTCGAACTCGGCATAGGTGGTCTCGTCCCCATCACTAACGACTACTCTGAACAATTCCCAATCTAGCTTAGTCTGTAGGCCTAACTGTTGATTTATCAACTGGGGTGATATTAAATCATGAATATCAAAACTGATATGTCGGGACAAAATCTTGACTCGGACTTGCTTCCTCAAAGACTCACTCTCGACTCGGACTCGACCCTTCAAAGACTCGGTCTTGACTCGGACTCGACTGTATTTGAAAACCAACGGACTCGGCCTCGACTCGACCTCGACCCTTCAAAGTCTCAGTCTCGACTCAGACTCGACCCTTCAAAGACTCGGTCTCGACTCGGACTCGACCCTTCAAAGACTCGGTCTTGACTCGGACTCGACTGTATTTGAAAACCAACGGACTCGGCCTCGACTCGACCTCGACCCTTCAAAGTCTCAGTCTCGACTCAGACTCGACCCTTCAAAGACTCGGTCTCGACTCGGACTCGACCCTTCAAAGACTCGGTCTCGACTCGGACTCGACCCTTCAAAGACTCGGTCTTGACTCAGACTCGACCCTTGAAAGACTCGCTCTCGACTCGGACTCGACCCTTGAAAGACTCGCTCTCGACTCGGACTTGACCCTTCAAAGATTCGGTCTTGACTCGGACTCGACTGTATTTGAAAACCAATGGACTCGGTCTCGACTCAGACTCAACCCTTTAAAGACTCGGTCTTGACTCGGACTCGACTGTATTTGAAAACCAGCGGACTCGGTCTCGACTCGGACTCGACCCTTGAAAGACTCGGTCTCGACTCGGACTCGACCCTTCAAAGATTCGGTCTTGACTCGGACTCGACTGTATTTGAAAACCAATGGACTCGGTCTCGACTCAGACTCAACCCTTCAAAGACTCGGTCTTGACTCGGACTCGACTGTATTTGAAAACCAGCGGACTCGGTCTCGACTCGGACTCGACCCTTGAAAGACTCGGTCTCGACTCGGACTCGACCCTTCAAAGACTCGGTCTTGACTCAGACTCGACCCTTGAAAGACTCGCTCTCGACTCGGACTCGACCCTTGAAAGACTCGCTCTCGACTCGGACTTGACCCTTCAAAGATTCGGTCTTGACTCGGACTCGACTGTATTTGAAAACCAGCGGACTCGGTCTAGACTCGGACTCGACCCTTGAAAGACTCGGTCTCGACTCGGACTCGACCCTTCAAAGATTCGGTCTTGACTCGGACTCCACCCTTGAAAGACTCGCTCTCGACTCGGACTCGACCCTTCAAAGATTCGGTCTTGACTCGGACTCGACTGTATTTGAAAACCAGCGGACTCGGTCTCGATTCAGACTCAACCCTTGAAAGACTCTGTCTCGACTCGGACTCGACCCTTCAAAGACTCGGTCTTGACTCGGACTCGACTGTGTTTGAAAACCAACGGACCCGGTCTTGACTCGGACTGGACCCTTCAAAGACTCGGTTTCGACTCGGACTCGACCCTTCAAAGATTCGGTCTTGACTCGGACTCGACTGTATTTGAAAACCAGTGGACTCGGTCTCGACTCAGACTCAACCCTTGAAAGACTCTGTCTGGACTCGGACTCGACCCTTCAAAGACTCGGTCTTGACTCGGACTCGACTGTGTTTGAAAACGAACGGACCCGTTCTTGACTCGGACTGGACCCTTCAAAGACTCGGTTTCGACTCGGACTCGACCCTTCAAAGACTCGGTCTTGACTCGGACTCGACTGTATTTGAAAACCAACGGACTCGGTCTCGACTCGGGACTCGACCCTTCAAAGACTTGGTCTTGACTCAGACTCGCCATAGGCGGTCTCGTCCCAATCACTAATCCTAGATATGGAAATATACTATATTCTATAAGTGGTCTACTTTACTTAATCTGCCAACCCATGACACGAATAAATGACACACATTTTAGCTAGCCGAATGAGAATAACCATTTGCATTCATGGCTCATGAATAGATACACTTAAGCAAATGCATTACAATTCTAGGCTTGAAATAGTCACAAGCACTAGCAAGGAAGAAAAGTTTGTAAATATTACCTATTTGCTATGTTTCACTTTCATTTGACCAGTTTTCATAAATGTCAAATGTGTTAATATGAAGATTTATCCAACAGATTTATAATGCCTGATAAAAAAGACTTAAAAGACACAAGATGCAGAGTATAATATCTAGCAAAATTAGCTCAACCAAACATAAGCCATTGTTTGTTTTAGGTAGTTTTGCTATAGTCAAGCCTGAATAAACTGACTTAGCCGTTGAGCGGATGAGCATCCAGAGTTCACCAAACTTTTCCTTTCCAATTAATTCCTTTCTTTATAGTACGAATGAATGCACGAGTGAAACATTAATCGAATCTATCTTCAGTGAGATTAGCGAAGGGGGCGGGACACCAAGCAGACAGCTTAATTAGGAGTTTTTAACTCGAGTTGAGGCTGCTACGGGCTCCTGCTCGCTGATAAGCTCACACACTCTGGCCTTTCAATAATTTTCATTGAGGTGTGTGTGTGTGTGTCTATTTGGTTCAAAAGGCCTGATGATATCCATAATTGTGGATTTAGTGATGCTTCAGTTTGAAAACTCAGTTGTATTTCACGCTATCTTTGCGGCGTGCTTTCAAAGCGGGTGGTTTCTCAGACGTCCATGTGAGGATGTCTCAGGCGGGAATAACGGGTGCGAAAGGACTCTTTTGGCAGACAAATGTGATGTGTTTCAGCCTCTTCAGTGGTTGAAATATTTTGAGGGACTGGTGTACAAAAAAGAAGCCTGCAGCGGACTGATATACACTTGTCATCTCTTATTATCTTTCTGTCTCTGTCTTTTAGTTCTGGATGTAAGCCTCACTCCTACAGGCAAGGTGTTAAAGAAGTTTGGGGAAAACTTGGTGGTGTCGTTGGAAAAGAATGCCTCTAATGAAGCAACTGTGACATGGATTAAGGTAAGAGATTGTCAAGAATCTAACAGATCTGGGTCGGTTCATTATCGTCCTCCAAGTCAAGCTAAACAACTTGTTCAATTTCTCCAGGACAACCGTAAATTAGACAAACTGCCCGACTTCTCTCAGTTGACATATAGTGACGCAGGCCTGTATGTGTGCAACGTGTCCATTGAAGGAATCAGACACAGTTTGTCCTTCGAGCTTACTGTTGAAGGTATGATTCATTATACACACTTCTATTATACATATTAGTCATATTTCAAATAAATAAATAATGAAATCAGTTTCAAATAGAGATCAAGATTCTCAACAGACAACTAAATAAAGTAACTATTTACTAGAGTTTCTGTTTGAAAATGTATAATTTTTTTTTTTTTTTTTTAAATTGGTTTGAGTGAATGATTCAATTACTTCCTCATAAAGACTTGTTTCATTACTGGATGAATCTGTGTTTTTGAACAAATCTTTTGAATTAATGATTCAATGACAAATATTTTTTAGAAGTCACATGTCGCCATCTAGTGGCGTAACAATGAAATCATTACAATATGTGTGTGTGTGTGTATTAATATATATATTTATATATATATGTGTGTATATATGTGTGTGTGTATATATATATATATATATGCGTGTGTACATGTATATATGTGTGTGTGTGTGTGCGCATACAACAATAATATATAAAAGCACAAATATATTATCTTCAGGTGTTCCTAAAATTACAAGTCTGACAAAACATCGCAGCTACGACGGCAAACACAAAGTGTTGACGTGTGAGGCAGAGGGTTCACCTAAACCTGACGTGCAGTGGAGTGTCAACGGAACTAACGTAAGTCACCGTCACTGTCAGACTCACTTCATCACAGACATTACGGTTGTCCTGAAAGAACCCTGTCCCTTGTAGCTACATTTTTATGCAAGAGGGAAAGATGCCCAGATATTTTTTTCGATTCCAGTCTAGACAAGATGAAAGGTGCACTGGTGTTTGAAGTTGCAGGTTTTCAGCACCCAGAAGGGAAGAGCCAACTTTCAATTCATGTTAAAAAGGGAACAGTTGTCCTGTGACAAATGTCTGGAATCGCATACAAAGCTTTATTATTTGTCCCATGGTCTTATTTTGGGAGGTGGGTGGGTGTGATTACTCCTACACGTTTCCACTTATTGTGAGACTAAAGCTGGGACACACTGTGTTTGTGTTTGATACCCCAGATATCGCAGACATTGTTTGTCCCATGAGTCACTGTATTTAGGTTTTGATACAGAGCAGTTTGACCAGCAAGTAAATGCATCTTTTCAAAAGCAAATTCAGTAACTAAGCCAACAGTAAAACAGTTTAATCCAATTTTAAAAACTTTAACGAAAACGTTACTTTTTCTTTTTGGTATAATTTCTTACTCTTCTTCAAATTTTGACAGAATATGTATTTACTGCTATTTTACCTTATTGTGAAAAACATGGATCTTTATTTAATTATAATCATATATTATATATCATATATTAATCATATATATTAAATGAATGTTAATAAACTTTAATAGGTATTAAAATAAAAATACAAACCAATTAAATAATTAAAAAACAAAATTAAAATGAATGTTTTACATGTTTATATACTGAATATTACAGAAGTTTGGGGGCATTATGATTTTATTTGATTTTTTAGCAAGGATGCATTGAATTGATCAAAAGTGGCATTAAGGGCATTTATTGTGATAAAGATTCCTATTTCAAATAAATGCTGTTCTATTGAAATATCTTGGATTCCACACACACAAAAAAAATGATAATAATAAACGTTTCTCATATATTAGAATGATTTCTGAAGGATCATGTGACACTGAAGACTGGGGTAATGATGCTGAAAATTCAGCTTTGCCGTCACATAAATACATTTCGTTTTGAAATAGGTTAAAATAGAATTATAATAAAATTATACAAAATTAAAATAATATTTCACTGTGTTTTTTTTTATCAAATAAGCATTTAAGACTTCTTTCAGAATATCTACTAACCCTTTAACTCAAACAGCAAAGTATAATAATAATATTACTAATAATAAAATTGTGTTTATATTAAACTGGGATTTGATTGTGTTTAATGGCTGCTTGTGTATGGTAGCCTATATGTTTCTGTGTTCCTGTGGAGCATCAGTAACTCATCCTGCGCTCTGTGAGGGGTTTAGTACTCACTGTCTGCCTTAATGACACGGATATTGAAGTGTGTTTGTGATGGAGACTCATTTAATGGCTGTGTGATTACTGAGAGTGAGATTTTTAGCCCCGCTCTGCACTCCTGAGGTGTGTGTGTGCTTTGAGAGTTTCCATTAGCGCTGGGTGTGGTGCAGACTACATGATACTAAATAAGCTGAGAATCTTCCATGTCCTCTAGTGGTGAGGTGCATTAAATAGCGCAAAGAGGTCCGACATAATTCAACCTGATAATTCAACTTTAAATTAACCTTCCAAGCCATTTTTGCTGAACCTTTCTTATTATTATTATTATTATTAATAAAATAAAATATTTAGATAAATAGTTAGATATTAAACAAGAACTGTACCGTAAACAGAAATGTTCTGTTTGTCTTGCAGGATGAAATGTCATATGTCAACGGGAAGGCAACATTCAAACTGACCGTGGTGCCCAGCAAGAACCTCACCGTCAACTGTCTCGTGACCAATAAACTCGGATACGACACGGAAGACATCAGCGTGTTTTCCCGTAAGTAACGTTACTGAACGTGCTTTCCCGCTGTGAGGACCGCTTACTAACCACTCAATCGACCCCTTTAAAAAGGCTCATATTATAGGGCTGTCAAGAACAGATTTAGATTAATAAGAACCATTAGGCTACATACTTCAGATGGTTAATAAGACCTTATAGTGCTTTGGGATCCTGTAGTACAAAAACACTAAAATAGTCTAATAGTCTGATTAAATGTTGCTGTTAATGGCATTTATTTAGGTTTTTATGGCATATACTAGTTTGACAGCCCTGATAAGTAGATGCCATATCTAACATCTTTTATACGCATGTGAGGAACTGGCATGTTTCACACAGTTTTGCCTGTTGCACCATTCAAACGCAGGGTGATTTTGTGGCCTTTTTACTGTCATTAGTGTCGTGGTGTGAACACTGGAAAGACTGCTCTCTCTCAGGTCCTCTTGTTCACTCATGGGACATAAAACGCTCTCTTTCTTTCTCTCTTGGATATCGCTTTTGCTCGGATTTTGTTTGTGTCAGGGTGCTTGGACTGCTATCTCTTTTCCTCCTCCTCCTCTTCCTCTTTTTCCGACCACTATCGCATGCTTGTGGTCATCTTCCTTATATTACTAGAATCTGATTGGACAATACTTGATATACTCTTGATTTTAATCGGTTTTGCATCTAAACCACAGTTGGGTGGTGGATTTTTCCTACCAAATTTGTTTTAAATGCCAGTTTGGTTTCATCTTGCACCCAAAGTTAATTTAATTTTATATCTGATTTCAGTATTTGAGGAGGACAAGGCCAAACCAGGTAAGATAATCTGATTTCATTCCCTTGAATTTCACTTAAAATGAATTTAAGATCATGAGTCGGAGGGTGTCAAGCATCCTGACATCATGCAAACTTCGTTTTTCTTTTAGAAATATGTCATCTTGAAATATTCCAGCTGCAATTTTTTCTCAAGACTTTTTTTTTTTTTCATGTCCCAGGATTGCCTTTCCCTAAAGAATCATAAACACTTTATAACCTCCTCTAAAGCATTATGTGTCCATTACCCTTAGAAAAAAATGAAGATGGTGCGGAGCAGGCCAAAGTGATAGTGGGTGTTGTGGTTGGACTCCTCCTAGCCGCTGCTCTGGTGGGACTCATCTACTGCCTCTATATCAAGAAAACAAGGTAAGAGGCAACGTTACATCGCAAAAACAACTCAAGTATGGAAAAACAGAGTATATTGCAGCCCTAAATCATCTTCAATGTTTAAATTACAACCTGTACATCGAATGAAGCACATATGATTGCAGTGGAAGTCCGAGCATCTGTTGTTATACATCAGCAGGATTTGTTGAGATTGACAAGAGAAGCGAGCGAGCCAGAAATGGTCTAGCCGCAGAGCTCAGTTTGAAATGTGCTGAAAGATTAATCAAGGTGAAATTGTCCTGTTAGACAAGGCAGCTGGAAGACCGGAGAGAAGGAGGCAGGCACTTCAGAGGAGAGTAAGAAACTGGAGGAGAACAATCATAAAGCGGATGTCTAAAAGAAGGGAGAGGCGTCAAAAGGAACGAAGAAGGTGAGAAGGTTTTTTAAAGCTCAGGGCCCAGTGCTAATACACACCTGCTAACTGTGGGCGGATGAAGAAAACTTACTGGCAATAATAGTTTTTACTGGCCAGTACTGCATGATATTTAAAGGTGTAGTTAAAACGTTTGCTGATAATTTACTCACCACCATGCCATCCAAGATGTCCATGTCTTTCTTTCTTCAGTCGAAAAGAAATTAAGGTGAAAAAGTTCCAGGATTTTTCTCCATGTAATGGGGACCAAACGGTTCAAGGTCCAAATGAAAGTTTTATAAGCACAAATCCTCGCCTTGCTCTGTTCTGAGGCGCGTTCGTGACTCTCCTGTTCGAACTCGTTCCTCAAAATGAACAAATCTTTTTACGAGTCATTTGGTGTTCGTAAAAATGACATTCGCTGATGTCTTTCATTTGAATCACGTGTATCATTTTCATCTGCAAGGTTTTAAACCACTATTCTTAAAGGAGTAGTTCACTTTTAAAAAAAAAACTTTTGCTGATAATTTACTCACCCCCATGTCATCCAAGATTTCCATGTCTTTCTTTCTTCAGTCGAAAAGAAATGAAGGTTTTTATATGAAAACATTCCAGCATTTTTCTCCATATAATGGACTTCAATGGGAACCAAACGGTTCAAGGTCCAAATGAGAGTTTCAGTGCAGCTTCAAAGGGATTTAAACAACACCAGAAGATGAATAAGGGTCTTATCAAGCGAAACGATCGCTCATTTCAAAAATAAATTAAAAAGTTTAAGTTTTATAAGCACAAATGTTCACCTTGCTCTGTTCTGTGATGCGGGTTTGTGAATCTCCTGTTCGAACTCGTTTATCAAAATGAACGAATCTTTTTCCGAGTCATTTCGTTCGTTAAATGAACCAAATGACTAATGATAAACGAGTTCGAACAGGAGATTCACGAACATGCGTCACAGAACAGAGCAATGCGAGCATTTGTGCTTATAAAACTTAAAGTTTTTTATTTATTTTTGAAATGAGCGATGGTTTGGTGCCCAGTGAACTCCATTTTGGAGAAAAATCCTGGAATGTTTTCATCAAAAACCTTAATTTCTTTTCGACTGAAGAAAGAAAGACATGGACATCAGCAAAAGTTTGTTTTTTTTTAAAGGGAACTACTCTTTTAAGTAATGTAAATAATAGTATATTACAGTAGCTAATAATAAAGGTACCAACCAGCTGTCAAGAACCTTGTCTTTAATAATTGCAATATTGAGCATGCCAAGCTCTTTTAATGTCAAGCTAATCAAAGTCAAGCTGTTGTTAATAGTCTTTTCTTCTCATCCTTGAAATCACATTCATTGTTTTTGTGTATCATGTCAGGTATGAACCAGGAAAGAGGCCTTGTCACACTGAATGTGCAGTACTACACACTTCAATCATCTAATTCCAGACATCTGATTGGACGACGACGTCTCCTTCAGGCTGCTCGTGTGCGTCATGCATCGCAGAACATTTCCTACTCTAAACGAACGGTTTCCTAAAAAAAAAAAAAAAGAAAGAAAAGAAAATCCCCCACAACGATCCAAGAGAGTAAAAGAGAAACCCCTTGTGTTGTAAATTTAGTCTGCACTGAGGACTGCATTTACTTTTGATCGATTCTGACGTTTTCTTTTTGTGTTCCCAGTGAATGTTCTCGTTTCATGCGCATTGCTGATGTGGTGGGCACTGCTGTTTTGCTCCCCCTATAGTAAAAAAAAAAAATGAAATTGTAAATTCGCTGTACACTTTTTAGGTCTGTGTAAATAAGTCGGGGGGGGGTTACGTTCACTCTGCTTAGCGTTTGGATTATTGAACGAGAAAAAAACAAAAAACAAAACATGGATTGTGGGACTACATATTGATATTGCACAGTCCCAATCATCAAAAACTCCCGAGATCGCGGCCGGATGCTGGAAGAATGATGACTTCACTGCTGTTACACCTCTGTTTGCTCATGTTTTATTTATTGGTACCTCTTTACGACACTGCCCCGTGACATTCATGTTATTTCGTCTAGTTTGAAGTGGCTAAGTAGTGAAAACGGGTTTAGAAATTTAGCGTAGTCTAGGGACACGTCCTGCTACACCCAGTGGCCTTCAGGTTGCATTGCATGATGTCATAGTCGAAGGGCCGTAAAACGCGGCCCGCTAGAGTTTAACGTAGTGGCATTGACGTGACTCGCATATAGCATAAATAAACAAGCAAACATCCGCTCTCGGTATCAGACTGGGTGGTAGCGACCTTGCATGCAGAGCCTTTATTTTTTTGGTAGAAAGTAAATGTAAAAGAATAGCCCCTTTATTCTGCCTTAACAGAAAGAGTCAGTATTGGACGGCAAACTTCAGTCCGTTTATTAATGTGAATCCTCACTGTAAAGCCTTTCAGTTTTGCACTTCCCTCAGACTACAAAAACTGCATCTTTTTCGGGATTTTTTTTACCTTGTTTTCTGTATCTACGATGTTTGTCAGGTTGATGTCCGACACTGTAGTCTTTAGCGATGGGTTGAAGCTTTGTTCCGTTCATCATGGTCTAAAGAGGCTGTAAATACGTTTGAATGTCTTGCTTGTGTTTGGCTATTTATAAAGTGTGAGAAATGCAAGGTTAGCTGCGCTTCTGCTTAGTCACTAAAAATACACTTTTTATTTAAACTATGATTTCACTTTGTCACGCATATTTAGAAGAAACTCTCCACATGCGTACTCTGAATGTTCATGTTTAGCGTAAGCGTCTCGCATATTTTGAACCATCAGGTCAGCAGTGAAACCAAAGAGGGTAACCGCATAAGAAGGCCATAAAGTATTGTAAATACTGACTTTTGTTTTTGTACTTTTGTTGACAATAAAAGTGTACATTTTGAAGAAAAACGTCTGGATTTGTGGATTCGGGGAAAAAAAAAAAACATAGCAGATGTTAATACTGGCTTTTATAAAACATTTTTTTCCACAAGAACAGATCACGGGTTACATACATCACTGAAAGATGAAAATAATCTCAGAGAAAACTTTTAACAAAGTATAAATTAATTGCACACATCACTGGTTTTAAATGATCCACAAGGCATTTTCCAACAAACTAAAATCTCTCGTAAAAAGAAGAGGGGAAATGAACAGAAACCGTTCCCCCCCGCAGACCTGTCGGAGGTCGTGTCCTCTTCCGCTAGAGGCTCCATTCAGTTCTAAGACTTTCAAGTGTTAGATGGAGATAGAGACGAGTGCAAAAATGAAGTTTCAAGTTCAAGCGAAAACCTGATAGGGAGGAATGACAGCCAGTGGGGAAGAGTCAAAGCAGGCCAGCTTTCATTCCCAGAGTTCCCAAAAGGCTTTGAATGAAGTCGTCGCTTTAAATCTTCGGTTTGCGGGCATCACTATTATTTGACGGCATTGTACATGATAATCTGTGTGTTTTTTTGGCTTGTTTTCTGGGTGCCAATACAAACGGTTCATGTTTTTTTTTGAATATGGCGTCAGTGCAAGTGAGCGAACCGAAAGAAGGGAATGGGAAACTTTATCTTAACAGAAAATGAAACTACCACAATAGCCCTTACTTGCTCAGATGTTGAACGCGACCGTTAAGAGTTGATAAAAAGCGGCTAACCTAAAAAATGGACAAAGAGAACCATGATATTCGAAATCCGTCTCTTTCTGCCTCAAACGATCTGATCTGGTTTGTCTTGTTCACCGCGGAATAATGAGATAAAGGAGACATGGTCACACCGAGAGCCATTACTGTGAAATTCATGATACCCAAGAGGCCAGAAACGTGCGGGTGTATGTGTGTGTGGCAGGATAGGCATGAATAGCCCGCAGACACTGGCAAACACAAACAGAAGCGCCGCTCTCATGTCCGTCCAGAGAAATACAAACGTCACTGATTTGAAGGATGCAGCAACCACCTCCAAATATGAAAGATTTGATTTCAATTCCATCCCGAGCTGTAATGACGATGACCTGAGTGCTGCAGATAAGCCACGTCACTGTAAACACAAGGCTTTTTTATATTTCCATAGGATCCTGTCGTCACGAACGCAACAATCCTTTTGGGCGAAAAAAGCACATTTTTCGTCTTGTTTGCCGGGTGCGCTAAACGAAAGCAAGCGGAAGTCAGCCTGCGGTTTGTACACTCAAAAGTCAGTCGTAGTTTGAAATCGTATCAGCGTGTGTTACGGGCCCTGCCTGGGGGCGACTAGCGCAAACTCCCGCAGAATGTTCCGTGCCACGTCCACTTTGTTCTGCGCGATCATCAGCGCTCGTTTCACATCTTCGAATGAGTAGCCCTCGCCCATCAGCTTGGCGATCTTGGCGTCTACGTTCTCCCGGGACGATTCCTGCGGTCTTCTGTGGATGTCTGGTGGGAAGATCCTGGGAAGTGGTTTAGGAGGTCTCTCGGGCGCCCTGAAGCAATCTAGGGCCACTGTAAACAGGAAACGAAGAGTGTTTAGCCAAAATGGGCTATTGAGAGTGGATGGTAGCCGGCCGACTAAAAAGACTAGGAACACATTAAAAACCCATTACAGGCTAATAATTAATAATTCATTGAGCACATTCAGCTCGATGGCTAATGGCTTCATTTAATAAACCTGCACAGCTATTATGTATTCAGAACAACACACTGTGCTCACAGCTGTTTTATCGGGAATTGCAGGCATATTCTGGAAGTAGCAATATTGTTTCATTATTTTTTTTTTCAGATCATAATATTAAACTACAGGGTATGAAAGGTTCAGCTTCATTGTGAATATAATATCAGTACATCATAAAATCAGTAGTGTATTTTAATTTGTTTTTCAAATAAGTCTCATATGCTCACCAAGATTGCATTTATTTGACCAAAAATACAGTAATAACTACTGGGAGAGTACACCTTAATACTGTATACTACTGGGAGAGTATATACCACATTAATACTGGATACTACTGGAAGAGTATATACCACCTTAAAACTGTATACCGTGAGAGTATATACCACCTTAATACTGGATACTACTGGGAGAGTATATACCACCTTAATACTGGATAGTACTGGGAGAGTATATACCACATTAATACTGCATACTGGGAGAGTATATACCACCTTAATACTGGATAGTACTGGGAGAGCATATACCACCTTAAAACTGCATACTGGGAGAGTATATACCACCTTAATATTGCATCCTGTGAGACCATCTTAATATTGGAGACTACTGGAAGAGTATATACCACCTTAAAACTGCAAAATGGGAGAGTATATACCACCTTAATAACGGATAATGCTGGGAGAGTATATACCACCTTAAAACTGCACACTGAGAGAGTATATACCACCTTAAACTGGAGTAATGTTGATGTGAAATATTACAATTTAAAAACAAATTTCTGTCTGTATTTTGTTTGAATAAGTTAAAAAACAATTTATGCATTTATTTGTATTTTTCATGCATTTATTTGATAAATGTATGCATTTATTTGCCTGTGATGACAAAGCTGGAATCATTGCTCCAGTGTCACTTGATCCTTCAAAATTTGACTAATATGCTGATTTGCTGCTCAAGAAATATTTGTTTTTATAATTAGTGTTGAAAACAGTAGTGCTGCTTAATATTTCTTGTACAAACAATTAGGTTTTTTTTTTAGTTTGTTTAGTTTTTTTTAGAAATCTTTGATGAATATTTTTTTTTTTTACATTTATTTGAAATAGAGAGTTTTGTTTTGGTTACTGACATTCTTCAATAAATATCTTCCTTTGTGCTCAGCAGAAGAAAGAAATTCATACAGGTTTGGAACGACTTCGGAGTGAGTAAATGACGACAGAATTTACATTTTGAAGTGAACAATTCCTTTAAACTCTGTTTTGACCAATCAGCATCCAAGACCAAAACTATTTGATTTATAACAGCCCTTCTACAATGAGTAGTACCTGAGGTGGGCGGCAGTTGATCGTAGTCTTGAGGAGCCCTGAGCGGCTTCTTCATGTTGTCTCCGGTTAATCTCCGCACGGGGGGATTAGGAGCCGAGTTAATCAATGTGTCTATGAACGTGTCTGTAAAATCACACTGATAATTAGACACCAATACAACCCCAAATACAGCAGTAGTTGACATTTATACTACATTAAAGGGTTAGTTCACCCAAAAATGAAAATTCTGTCAAAGCCAAAATATCTCAAGAAGGAAATGAATAGTTGAATAAAGTCATTATTTTTGTTTGTTTTTTGTGCACAAAAAGTATTCTTGTCGCTTAATAAACTTAATATTGAGCCACTGTAGTCAGCCGGCCAGTTTCGATTCCTTAAGAAGCCTATGGAGGAGTGAGACAGCTCTCAGATTTAATCAAAAATTTCTTCATTTGTGTTGCGAAGATGAACCAAAGTCTTACAGGGTTGGAACAACATGCGGGTGAGTAATTACTGACAGAATTTTCATTTTGGGTGATCTAACCCTTTAATAGTCCCAGATGTGTGGGATTTGTCCTCACCTGGGCTGAGCAGGAAGTGGTCGTGTCCAGACGAGGGGCGGGCAGGTCTGGGGTAGGGTGAGGAGGACGAGGGTTCTGTGAAACTGTTCCTGATGGGGGGAGGAGGAGGAGGCTGGGACGGAGGAAGAGAGTTGAACGGGTCTTCCATTGGAGACGCTGGGAGAACGGAGAGAAAGGGAGAGTGGTTGAGTCTTTCTACATGCCTCAGCAGTTCCTCTTCTCACCAACAGATGGAGCTAAAATATCATTCAGCCACGATTTGAACGCGTTCTGAATTTTTGTTGTTTGTTTTGAAAAAATACAGCAAGGATGCATTATATTAAATAAGATTAATTAGTAAATATGTTTACACTGATGCAAAAGATATCTACATCAAGTAAATGTTGTTGTTTTTTTATCTTTCTATTTATCAAAAAAAAATCCTGAAAAAATAAACGTTTCTTGAGCAGCAAGAAAGACTGGATGCTGAAAATTCAGCTTTGCTAGCAAGGGAATAAATTACATTTTAAAATATATTAAAAAAAGATAAAGTATATTTAAAATTGTAGTAATTTCACAACACTGTATTTTTGATCAAATAACTGTAGGCATTGATAATTACCAACCCCTTACCTTACTTGAAACAGAAATATAGTTTTAAATATTTCATTTTGGGAAACTGCAGTATGGTTTTAATTATAGGTAACACTTTACTTGAAGGGGTGTGCATAAGTCTGACACGACACCTTCATAACCATGACATATGAGAGGTTTTATGCATGATTATGACAACTGTCATTAAGTGTAACTCGCTCAATTATGACATTTTAATGCAAATATGACATTGTTTGAGATGTCTTTGTTATGACAACTTGACATAAACCAATACATCATAACCTGTCATAAATATGACTTAAACAAGACATAGCAGATTCAAAATCAAACTTAAGAAACCACTTTGCTTTATAGGTTAACATTACATTAAACTGTCATGTGGTTGGCTTTGACATTGGCTGTCATGAGGCCATGAATATTTTTCTTGACCTCAACAGTGGTACTAATTGAATTTGTCATTAAAATATTATAATAGCCACATGACAGCCAATGTCAAAGCCAACCACATGACAGTTTAACTTAATTTTGTCAAGTTATCATGACAAAGACACTGACAGGTTATGATGTTCTGGTTTATGTCAAGATGACATAACAAAGACATCTCAAACAATGTCATTTTTGCATTAAAAATGTCATAAAAGAGCGAATGACAGTTGTCATAAACATGTATAAACCCATGTGTCCTGTCATGATTATGAAGGTGTCATGTCAGACTTATGTACACCCCTTCAAGTAGTGTTACCTAATTATATAGCCAAAATAATGGATTTTAGTTACTAAGCAATTGTATTACCGTAAGTTTATAAAAGTAGTATGACTATGAATTAAACAAAGGCAATTTGATGTCTTCATGAATCTGTCTATATAAAAACAAACAAGCTAAAATCATAATAAAATTATACTAACATAAAAAATGTATGGAAGTGAAGGTGAATGAATGTAAAAAAAAGTGTCTGAATAGAAGCACCACACAAACACACCTTAACTACATCAAACAGCTCATTTTATAAAAGGTAATAATCAGATTTAGTGACTCAATAATGAATAAGGACTGCATTGGTGTTCGCAGCTCTAACCTAGTGCAATAGTAAAAGTAGAAACCAACAAATGAACACCACTGAACAGTCTGCTAATCAGGCAACCAATCAGATTGAGGCGCTGTGCCAAAGGCTACCTTGAGGGGGCAGTAGAATGTCGTAGTCTGAGGGCGTCCTGTTGTGGAGGGGGCACTGTGTGGTGTGAGCCACACCCGAAATCAATGAACCAGAGTCAAACCCACCTGAGGAACACAACAGAGTTATACTGACCTAAAAATGGCCTCAACCTCTCAGTGAGTCACCCATGTCAGCCAAAACAACTGACTTCAACAACCACTGGCCGCCACATTAAGAAATGTATACTTTAGTCCCTGTTGCTACAAACACACACAAACTCCCACAATCACACTAAAAGATGGTCAAGCAGAAAATGAAGATGACAAAGCAGAGACTGTGTGTGTGTATGTTCTCTCACCATGCTCTGGAGGTTTATGTTTCTTTAATTCTGTGGAGAGATCTGACAAGCCGTTTTCTAAAGTCCTTTATGAAAAGAAAACACATTAAAATGCGGACGGGACGATAAGACAGTCAATGTTTTTCACTATCGTGTGTGTGTTTACCTGTTGGGAATGCGGAAGGGGATGCAGACGGGCGGCTGTGTGATGCAGACGGGATGCGATGATGGAACCTGATACTCGTCCTCCACTCTATCCGTCAGACTCCGATGGCTTTTGAAGGGCTTGGTGTGTCTGTAGATCACACAAAACTTATTACACAACATGTACAGGAAGGTAAGTCAGGACAACACAATCCCACAATGCTTCAGGCACACAGATAAGGTTCAATGACCATTCAGTGTTTTTCACAAATGATTTTTACGTGTTCGCCTAATGAAAAAGTAGTTGCCACAATGTAAAGGAAGTTGTGAGTGGCTTGGGCATTCAAAATGGTTGATATGATGCTCTTTAACGTATTAAAAATACTCAGAACACTTAAGCCACATCATGTACTGAGCAGTTTTGAGCGCGTTGCTTTGTGGTTGCTAGAGTGTTTTTAGACTATGATATTTTGGTCTTTATATAGGACTAATTGCCTCCTTCAATGCAAGTTTGTGGGAGGAGACCTTCACACAAACTGCATGATTTGAGACATGATTCATGTATGTACCATGGAAAGTTTCATACAAAGCCGAACAACTCCCTAACTCCAAATTATTACATTAACAAATATGCAAAAAAATATGCTCCCAAATTACAGCAAATTGTGGATTCACAATATGTAAATATTTACATAAATGACCGAATAATAAGTGATGCCACGGCACTCGTGGAAAAATCCTCTTTGACGGGAGATTTAGACGATGTTCTCCGCCTTCATGCTGACTCATTGAAACAAGCACTCTTCAGTGCGTGAGATTAGCCAGTTTAATCACGTAATGCTCTAACTAAGACTCCAACGCTGAGCTAAAGTAGGCAAAGACATCCAATATTTAAACAGGCTGGCACCACTGAGGAGGGGGGATACGATGGGCGGTTTTCCAGCCAAACTTTAACTGCTACCGCAATGCACCGTTAGAGGGCGCTTTAGGCACTTCATCTCCCTGTGATGATGATGAAGCGATTCACTGATTCACTTCAAGTGTTTCGAAATGTTCCTTGATCCAACACATCAAGAGTGTTTATGGATGTACATTTGCCAAGTGTTTAACAGAAGCCAACCATAACAGTGTAAAAACACCTATGAGAGTGAGGGGGAGATGACAGGTTCACAAGTTTTGCTCTCTTTGAGGAGGTGGAAAGTGCTCTCAACCGTTCCAAGTCAGTGGTGTGTTTGTGTTTCTGTAGAATAAACGTATGTTGATGTGTGTGATGCCCATCACAAAGAATCCAGTGTGCCTGGAGCCAACAGAGAATATATATATATATATATGAAGAGTTCAGATGCAAAAGCCTCTAAATGCCATTTGAAATTGTCTTCTTTAATGATGATTTTTATCAAACTTGTATATTTAAGTTCAGTAATTTCACTTAAATAACAATTAATAGGTAATTATCATTGCCATTTAAGTGAAATCACTGAACTTAAATATACAAGCTTGATAAAAATGATCATTCTAGAAGAAAATTTCAAATGGCACTTAGAGGCTTTTGCATCTGAACTCTTCATACGTATTTTAAAAATATATACACACGTACACACGCTAGAGTAATCTTAGCCTCTATAAACACTACTGACGCAGCTCTATGGACAGATACACCACATAGACACACAACACTATTCTTCGGGGCTCTAAACAACAGCCATTGTGGTTTCCAGAACCACTCGGTTTCATTTGTCAAAGCGGTGACAGAAACACACTTTTTCTTGTAGCAGGAACTGCTGAGAGGAGCAGAACAGTGTTGCATGAATGAAGCCATTAACATTGACAACCAAACCAAGGGTGCTATGGGTGTTATAGTAGAGTCAGGGCATTTCTATGCAGTGTATTATTTTGTTTTTGTTTTTTAAGAACATTTTATAAACCCTATGGCAAAATTCTGAAACAGCGTAATGTAAAAAATAGTCTGCTAAGGTGTTCATGGGAGTTAATTGCTGTATACTAACAAACTGAAAACCACTTTTTACCAACTTTATAGCAACATATCAACAATAAGCAGAAAAACTTAGCAATAACAATGTACTAAGTAGTTTTTTGTATGCTGCTATGCATTCAATGTTTAAGAACACTATCTACTGTATAGAAACATACCACTCTATATCAACATATTGACAGTATTTAGAACACCCAAGTAATTTTTTTTTTTTTTTTTTTACGTTTGCATTGAGAAACTGCATAGCAACATCTAAAATAACACACTAGCAACATGTACTGGAATTGATAAGGTGTTCTGAGCAGTTTTTAACATGCTTTGCATTTTCTAAATGCAAAAGTCCAATCCAAATCCAATCACTTATCACAGCACATCTTTCCTGAACAAGCAGCATAATGTGAGGTATCATTCATGTTTGTAGTACAAACAACTAAGTTCACCCCTATTCTTGACTACCTAATAATAATAATGACAAAAATTCAACACATAGCACAATATAAGGGAAAGAATGAGCATAAGTGTTTGTGACAGAAGAGGAAATATGGCTTGCTGCTTGGAGTGCTACCTCTCAAAGGCTGGTTCTATTTAATTCCCTCAAAAACCCCACAGGAAGTCCATCACTGTTGTGTGTGCGTGTATATGTGTGTGTGAGAGTGCATATATATATGTGTGTGTGTGTGTGTGTCTTTATGTTTGTTTAAAGAGCACATGCTCTCCGGATCCTGGTGCTCTTGCATAATTGGTGCGCATGTGTCCAAACATTACTGTGTGTGTATGCGTGTGTGTGTGTGTGTGTGTGTGTGTGTGTTTGTTCTGTCAGACCTCTAGAGATATACAGGATGCAGCCTGTGCACACAATCCCTGGATCACATTAACCCATTCATTAAGTCCACATGATATTTTTGTCTTTTCAGCAAAAAAAACACTTGCGAGAAATAATAATAATTTAGTCATTAAACGTCACAAAAGCAGATCAATGAGCAAAGCAGGAAAAGATGCTCTGGACTGGCATCACAATGAGATCAGCAAATCCACAGAAAAACAGTGCTCAAGAGAGGTAAACAGCTAATTTATAATCATATGAAGACAATATGAGTGAATCGAGGAGGGTAAACACAGTTGTTTGTTTGGTGAGGCTCCCTTCAGAATAAAGAGAGACAGATTGATTTGCTTTACAGTGATTATGATCAACATGGACACAAATAACAAGAGCCACAGCTAGGGCTCCAGGGATGGGAGTGGCACGTGTGTGTGTGTGTGTGTGTCTCACCTCTGGTTGTGGTCCAAAAGGGGAGGGGAGTGACGCAGAGGAGGGACATCATACTCATCACCAGGTAACAGACCGTTGATGAAAGACTGCAGAGAAACACAAACATGAAATGTTAAAAATCACCATTTATGATAAATAATTTATGGATGTAGTGCTCAATAAGAAACCTGACATAAAAGGTACAGATGAAATTAAATGGGACTTATCCGTGATATATATTAGATTATTTGTCATAGATGGATGATGGAAAGTACTGGTGAATAGCTAGACGGATGGATGGGTGGAAGGATGAAAAGTAATGATGATTTGAAGGATGGATAGATGGATAGATGGTTAGAAAGTACGGATAGACAGACAGACAGACAGACAGACAGACAGACAGACAGACAGATAGATAGATAGATAGATAGATAGATAGATAGATAGATAGATAGATAGATAGATAGATAGATAGATAGATAGATAGAGACTGTAGATAGATACTGTAGATAGATAGATAGATATGGATGGATGGATGGATGGATGGATAGCTGGAAACTACAGATGAACAGTTAGACAGATGGATGTATGGATGGATGGATAGATAGATGGTTAAAAAGATAGATGAAAAATACTGATGAATGGATGAATGGAAAGATAGCTGGAAAGAACAGATGAACAGTTGGACGGATGGATGGATGGATGGATAGATGAAAAATACTGATGGATGGATGGATGGATGGATGGATGGATAGATAGATAGATGAAAAATACTGATGGATGGATGGATGGATGGATGGATAAATAGATGGTTAGAAAGATAGATGGAAAGTATTGATGAATAGATGGATGGATGGATGGATGGATGGATGGATGGATGGATGGATGGATGGATGGATGGATGAAAAGTACTCATGAATAGCTAGACAGATGGATGGATGGATGGATAGATAGATGGATGGTTAGAAAGATAGATGAAAAGTACTGATGAATAGATGGATGGATGGATGGATGGATGGATGGATGGATGGATGGATGGATGGATGGATGGATGGATGGATGGATGGATGGATTAAAAGTACTCATGAATAGCTAGACAGATGGATGGATGGATGGATAGATAGATGGATGGTTAGAAAGATAGATGAAAAATACTGAAGAATGGATGGATGGATGGATGGATGGATAGATAGATGGTTAGAAAGATAGATGAAAAGTACTGATGAATAGATGGATGGATGGATGGATGAATGGATGGATGAAAAGTACTCATGAATAGCTAGACAGATGGATGGATGGATAGATGGTTAGAAAGATAGATGAAAAGTACTGATGAACAGTTAGACAGATGGATGGATGGATGGATGGATGGATATAGATAGAAAGAGAGATGGAAAGAACAGATGGATGGAAATGACCGATGACCAGCTAGATAGATTATAGATAAAACGGATTGAGAATGGGAGAGAGAAAAGGAGAAAAAAATAACATTTAAAGTATTTTCACACAGATGATCCTGTTATTGTGTCAAATCAACAGATTAGAAGGATCTTCAGGACCCTCATCATGGAGCTCTAGAAACCTCGGATGTCTGAGCCGGTTTATTTCAGAGATCAAGAGCAGCGTGTGATGCTGCACACTAGCTGTGGCCTGAGGACAGTGCTGTGTGGGTTTGTGCCGGGAGAACAGGGGCCAAACTCTCTGTGCCCACACTGGGACACTAAATGAATCCATACACTGACATGCCAACCAGGGACAGAGAGGGGGTTGAGAGAGAAAAATCACAGTCCATTGGTGGTTACATATAATTGCATGCTGCAAACCTTAGTAGAACAAAAAAATCCACAAGCACTTCATTCAACAAAAAACATTTCAGAGAAGTTCTTAGTTTCCAAAAGGGCTTTAATGAGAGACCCTCTGCAGCTTTGCAACCAAATACATAACCCTCTCCAATCCCCTTGTGCAAAACATGCTCATTTAATGTATAATCTATATGAATATGTACGTGTATGTTGAATTCTGGAGCATTAACCCAGATAAACCAAAACACGTCGGGGTGGGAGGGCAACGGCTGTAATTATGATGCGTTTTTAAATACCTCCTTTTTTAATGCCAGGGCCAAAGACAGGCACATTCACACAGCCAAATTTCACAGCCCTGCTTTAATGCGAATATCGTCACTGTTGCTTAGTAACAGCTACGAGCAAAAAAAGTGAATATTTATGGCTTAAAATAGGCATGTAAGGGCTTGTGAATGAGTACAGAGGGTTCTAGGTGATTTCGAAACACAATGTCCAGTCATTTTTCTGCTCTTATCTCATGTTCTTGACTCTGCTTATCAAAGAAGGACATTCCAGCCCTAATATAAAGTGTCACTCTCCAAAAAGAGCGCGTGTGAACGTGATCAGCATGATCCAGGAGGAATGTGTGTGCGTTCCTAACCTTACTACACTCTGACTGCGCATTCGGTCTGTGGCCGGTCCGGTTCAACCCCAAGTCGGCGCCGGAGCAGCTGAGGGGTCTCCCGTTGATGTGCGCAGGGGCGGCGTGGGCGAGTTTGGGGGAGCGGTCTGCAGCAGGAGTCTTGCAGTCTGACAGAGCAGTGCTGTCTTTAGGAGTCCAGGCCTCCAGGGGCGCTCTAGGGTCCCTGGGAAGGCCAGACGAAGGAGTGATGAGCCAGGCGGCCCGGCCCTCTTGAGGAATGTGAGGTGGGCGTTCTGGTGGAGGAGGAGGAGGGGGGTCTCTCTGTGGGGGTGGAGGGGCAGGAAGGGGCTTGTCCTGTTTTCTGGACATACCTGGAGATGACTGAAAAGAGAAAAGAGAAATATTAAAAAACAGAAAATTAAACTGAGAATAAAAATATTTATCATGATCAGCAAGATACCTTGGGAGAGCCTGTGGGGCTGGGAGCGGGCGAACGGATGAGGTCAAGGCGGGGTGGGACGGGTGGAATGTTCAAGTGCGGGCCCATGTGATCTGCAGCGGTTTTCCGGCGTTCACACACAGGGGATGAGTTCGGAGACATTATCGGCGAGTTCTGGATGTCCATCGACTACGCAAAGAAAGAAAGAAGCAACCGAGGCGATTTATGACTTATTTAGCGACCACATACAGTAGCAATCATCCATAACATGCAAAAATCATGATAGCATGTTTTACACAATCAAGCAATACTTTTTTTCTTTTTTTCTTTTTTAAGTTAAAGGGATAGTTCACTTTGAAATTAATTTTAGGTATGTTTTAGCTTACCTCAAGGGCATCCATAATGTAGGTGTCTTTGTTTCCAGAGTAGTTTCAATTTTGATATTTTTAGGTCAAACCATTCGTGTCTATCAGTCATATAATGGAGGTCTATGGTCACCACCTCAAAGAGCATGCACAGAGAAGTCCAAATTAAACATGATTTAATGACTCGTCTATGTAAGTACACACTGATGGCCTAAGACATGAAACGAGCGGTTTGTTTGAGAAAACGAACAGTATTTATAACATTTTAAGTGATCTGAGGGCGCCTACGCTTTGTGGCTGAGGTTACAAGAAGTAAAAACAATAAAAATACTGTTAGTTTTCTCTCACAAACCGCTCGTTTCATGTCTTAGGTCATCAATGTGTACTTACATTTACGAGTCTTTAAATCATGTTTAATTTGGACTTCTCTGTGCATGCTCTTTGAGGTGGTGACCATAGATCTACATTATATGACTGACAAGACATGAACGGTTTGACCTAAAATTATCAAAATTGAAAATACTGCGGAAACAAAGACATCTTGGATGCCCTTGAGGTAAGCTAAAACATACCAAAAATTTATTTCTAAGTTAACTATCCCTTTAAATACAGAAACACTCGATGTTGCATAGATATTGGGTCTTGATTGAGATAAAATATTTGCAACAAACACAACAGCAGTACAAAGAGAAGGAAAATGACACTCATTATTAATCATCATGATTGCGTACGAAGCTATCCTAATGGCCTATTACCTCCATAAATAGCTTCGGGCAGGTTAGGGTATTCAACTTCCTAATCAACTAAAAGTCTCATTAGCATATCCATGAACTGAGCACTTGCAGCTGGACAGCTTTTGTTCGTGGTCCACCAAAAAATGTATAAAGGGGGGAAGCGCTACAAATTAAATTAGCTAAAAAACGTTACAGGAAATTAAAAGGTGAATAACATGCTCTTTGTGCGCTACTCTTAGTACGAACAAGCTCTCACTCAATAGGAAGCCAATATCCTCTACAAGTTCTCTTGGAAGGGCATTATAGGGAGAGAAAAAACTAATATCCCACATTTCTATTTAAAAACATTCCTGCCAGAAGGTGCCCTCTATTTCTCTCCAAACTCTACCATTTAATGAATATACTCAGTGGAGCTGCGGAGGTTGTGTCCTTGTGAGGCAGGTTCCAACAGGTTTCTTTTTTTAATAAAAGAGACTGACATTTATGCTGGTGAAGAGCAGGAGGCTATCGCACCTATATAAAAGCAAGATATAGGTCTCTTTGAAGTCCAGTAAAGAAAGAGATTAAAACCACTAGGGAAAAAAAAGAAAATTGGTCGTGGAATGTCTTATCTACTGAGCAGATTTAGGCAGAAACAAACTCCGAAATACTTGTAAACCTGTGATAACAGACAGTGATCTGGCTTTAAGTCAACATGAAATGCATTTAGGAGTGTAACAAAACCCTCGTGTCACGATTCGATACATATCTCGATACTGAAATCACGATACGATATTATTGCGATACTCCAAAACATATAATAAAAGGTTAACAAAAAATGTACTGATGATTAAAATGCTAAATTTGATATTACATTGTGGGTTTAAATGAATAGACTTAGACTTGGTGCTTGTAACCCAAGGACAATGGTCACACCAGACTAAAATAATAATTTGACTAAAATAATTCTGTATATTTTAATTATTTTTAGATCTTTCACTGACTAGATACATTTTAAAATAAATGTAGGCCACTTTTTACTGGTAACATCAGATATTTGTCATTATCAGGACCCATAAATATTCCCTCATTGCATAGTTTAATGTAGTACTGACACTAAAACTCTGAAAACTTTTTCTCACATAGTCATTTTTATTTTGGGGGGACTATACACGATATGCATTGTCACTATCCACGATGTGTATTGTTGCATTTCTGTATTGCGATATATTGTTGTGGCACGATATATTGTTACACCCCTAAATGCATTAGACACGTATTCCAGAGTGAAAAAAAAAAAGTATGTCTGGATTTGATTTGATTTTACCCATTAAAAAGTAGGCATTACACAGCAGAATGGATGGGAACGATTAAAAAATAAACATAAAAGTTGTGTAGGTTGATACATTTAGAAAAAAATATTGTGGTCCAGCTTATTATTTTTGTATCTTTTTAATAACATGCCCAGATGAATTGTTCACAATAAGATCATGAAAAAATATTAAGCGTAAATAATTCATATTTCTAATACTTAGTCATATTGACAGTAAGTAATGTTATAAAAACATGTTGTTTTCTATACTTTACATACATAAAAAAAAAATCAATCAGTTTCCACAAAAACACCCTTTTTTTTTATAAGAGACTACTTATAAAATTTATTTTATTATTTATTATATAAAAAATCTTATCAACCCCACACTTTTGAACAGTAGTCTAAGTAATTAAGATTAATTTCAATTTAATGTTGGGAATCTTATAGATGTTGTACCTTCCTGATGTGGTCTATGACCAATGATTCCTCTCTGTCATCATCATCATCCATGTCCAGCATAGGGGAGTTGAAGTGGTCCAGGAAGAAGCACTTGGCTCCTTCATTGCGTGGGTCAAACGGATCCACAATGATGGGCTCCGTCCCTTTGATCTCGCAGCGACAGAACGGGCAACCCTGACCGTCGGAGTCCTGCAGAAAAGAGTCGAGGACACACAGAGTGAACTTTAAAACACTAGCGCACACACTTGTAACGTGCACTCTCAAACATACACACACCCAAAGGCTCAAACACTTGTGGAAGTCCAGAAAACCGCCTCTTAATCGAAACAGACATGAACACACGCACATGGTGTAGTACCTTCGCTGATATCAACCTCAACGTTCTGGTCTGATTATTTGTATAGCGCTGTAAACACTGACACACTGTTGAGGAAATATGCCTTGGCCATGAGGAAACTCTTTACTGGCAGGATCTGAAGAGTCATGTTTGATTACAAACAGCTGGAACGCACATGCTACCCCCCTCCGGCCTGGTACCGAATTTCTCTTTTTCGATTTAGGATTACAGACACACACGCAGGCCACTCCGCCACGTCGCACACCTCCATACGGTCTGGAGACCGCTTACACATGGCGAAATGAACAACAATCATATTTAATTTCCTCCATTAAACTCTGAGAATCAAAGTGTGTCGATATTTACAAGAACAAAAGATGATCATGGCTGCCATCTGGTTGAGGGGTCGCCCGGGAAAAAAAAACATCAAAGCATCGTTTGAAACCTAATCCTAATTAAAGCCTTTAACCGGAGACAGAGAAACACACCCCAACTGACTCGGCATAAAACAAGTCCATTGAAATGAAAAAGGGATAGTCAGTCACCATTGAGACTTCACTGATGTGTGTTCATAAACTCAGCCCAAAAATCTCCCTGCCAGCTAGGAGATGAGACGACACTTCTCTAGGCTCTCAACCGGTTCAATGGTTTATTTAACACACAGTCAGGTCTGTTTATAGGCAGGTGACAGGTTAAAGGGCAGCTATCCCTGCCGTTTTAAAAAACGAGAGCAAAGGGGATTTCTTGTTGTCTAAGAATGGACTTCACAGCTGAGGCCTTTTGAATGTCATTTTAAATGTGTTGTGACAATCTGTGTTCAGTGACAACAATTCTGACCTGAAGGAAAGATGACATCCTTCACACATTCTCACACTCAAATATGGCACAACAAAAGTAAACACTTGCATCTAAAATTAAAGTAACACATCAACCACGAATGTGCTCCACTAACATTTCACGAGCAGAAAGTGTCTGCACACAATCTTAATTTTGAGCAGTATGTCTACTGTTTTATATTTATTTCCATTTTCTGAAATCTTTTGCTTGAAAAATGTGAGCTTGTGCAATTAAAATAAATGGCACTTTGATTTGACATTTTATTGTTTAAGGCAGTGACATTCACACATTTTTAAGGTCACAAATAATTTTTGGGGGCCACTGTATAGTTTCGATGAAGTGCTCTTCTGAATTTAATTAACTTGAGCGCTTCACTTCATTGTTGCGGTAAAGACTGGTTCACGGTCAATGATCACAAATCTGAGCCAAACCCATCAAAAACCTAGATGGTAGCAGATCCGATGTATAGAAGACCGAAAACGAATGTGCCCAACAGAACAAAAAACACAAAATATTACAATAGTCCTGCTTCTCCCTTAAATTTTCTAGTGGTATAGTGAAGAATTGTATATTATTGGGGAGAGATACAGGGATGGGCATGTTGCTGGCCAGACTCAAACCAAGCACCGAGACTCGAATCAGGGTTTAAGCTCAGATCAGCTTGAATAAATCAAGTTTCCATTATGAAAGGAAAAAAAAAACAAAGATACACATGTAGCATGCATCTGGCTGAGGCGTCTGAGGCGTCCCAGAAGTATCTGTTTATCGAAAGAGAAGCTCTGATGCTTGGACAACACCGTAGATCAGAACATTTCTGAGAATACGGTCATTCCTTAAAATGTAAACACATACACACTTCATCCCAAATGTGTAACATCACTCTAACATCACCCACGTAAACATCCTCAATCACAATCATACACATTAATACGCAGGAACACACACCCAGAAGATTGCCGCAACCAGAGAGGACACATTTTCTACCCTATCTGCCTTTCTTTCACCTGTATGCAGTCATGCCGCTTGCATTTGAGATCAGGACAAATGCAAGGGCGACAGAGACAGATTACCCGCTGTTCGTTCTCCAGTTGGTCCTGATGATGCTCAGTATTCAGGTCATAGCATGCCATTAAAGCACTCTTAACTAGATCCATTAGCTGAGCGCTGGGCGTCACTGAAGCGTTTACATGTGATGCAAAGAATTTCTTCAAAACGCATGCAAATAAGACGTGTTTCTCTCATGCATGAGCACAGCTGTGTGAAAAGCTGCAGAGGTGTGGTGGTATATATTTATATATATATATATATATATTAGGGCTGTCAAATGATTAATCATGATTAATTGCATCCAAAATAAATAAAAGTTTTTGTTTACATAATATATGTGGCTGTACTGTGTATAATTTTATGTATATATACACACACACACACACACACATGCTTGTATATATTTAAGAAATATTTTCATATATTATATGAAAATATTGTTTACAATAAGATCATGATTCATGATTTCAATAAGATCATGTAAATATTGTTTACAATAAGATCATGATTCATATATTATACATTTCATTTATATATATATATATATATATATATATATATATATATACACACTAATTATACACAGTGCACTCACATGTAAATAAAAACTTTTATTTTGGATGTGATTAATCATGATAATATAATATAATAATAATTCCTCTTATTTGTTTTGGAAGGTTTGTGGAAACTGTCTTGGAAAATTTTGCCCCGGACCTTTTTTAATTTATGCGTGTAAATAAACAAAATAAAATTAAAAAAGTAAACGTAAATAAAAATGATTACAAATAAAATTGTTTGAAATAAACAAACCTTTCAATACTCATTGTGTTAAAATTATTTATATACTTTTTTTTATTATGAATGTCACACAGCTGTGTCGTCATTCCCAACACACCAAACAACTTTGCGGCAATAAAGTTAGCATACTGAGTTACTAAGGAAATATGAGAAGCCACGTATGAAGAAACCTCAAGATAAAGGTAAAATCGAGACAAATATCAATTTTAGTAGAATAAAAAATGCTAGTTATGAAATTAGCCTTAACACATCAAAATAGTCACTTACTATTTTAATATACTGTACTTTAAGATATTATTTATTTATGTGATGCAAGGCTGAATTTTCATCTGCCATTACACCAGTATTAAGTGTCACACTACCCTTCAGAAATCATTAGAATATGCTGATTTGATACTTATTTATTATCAATGTTGGAAACAGTTGTGCTGCGTAATATTTTTTGTAACATTGATGAATAAAAAGTTAAAAAGAACAGCATTTATTAAAAACTTCTTACCGGTACTATACATGTATATCTCCAGCCATTGTTAAATCCGTATAATAAAGTGTATTATAAATGAGTATAAAAACACCTGCAATATGTACCTGCCATGATGTCAAACAGGAAGTGCACATGAGGTGGCCACATGGCTCAATCTTTACATCTTTATCGTTTTCGGCGCAGATCTTACACAGCTGAAACGTAGAGCCCATTTCACAGTACAACTCATACTGTTCCTGAAAAGACCAAAAACAGAGAGGACAAAAAAAGATGACGAAGATGAAAATCAAAATCTGATATAAAGTCAACTCGTATGTGCATCTGTTACTAACCTGTGTGACCTTAATGTGGTCGTGTGGGGTGGGTTCACACAACCCGGTGAGATCTGGGTTATAACTGCGCCCATCTGGAAACAGATAACTGCAGATGGAGAGAAAGACAGCAAAAAGATGAGGTTAAGAGACTTGACCTCATGTGCAACTGGCTCTGTGGCATCTTTATTAGCAGTGCTGTGATACTGGGCCACCTCCACAGTCCATCCAATCACAGCCAATGTCTGAATTGCAGCACTTACAGCAGGGATCAAACCTCTCAGCTGGGGCAATCAGAGAGAGATGGATAGATAGAGAGAGAGAGATGTCCAGACAAAATTCCAGAGGAAAGAATTCAGCAGAATGGATTTTAACATGATAAAATATCTTTAATGAAACTGATAGCAGTTATTAAAGACTAAAAGAATAATCGTAAAAAAGACCTAACCCTAAAAAAAGAACAAATAATTTAATGATGGGAACTCCCAGTGAACTTAAAGGGATAGTTCACTTTGAAATTAATTTTTGATATGTTTTAGCTTACCTCAAGGGCATCCAAGATGTAGATGTCTTCGTATTTTCAATTTTGATATTTTTAGGTCAAACCGTTTTTGTCTATCGTTGATTTTTTTTTCGCAACCGCACAAGAGATCACTTCCGGGGCTTTCCGGCGCGCTTGCGCAAATCGAAGCGCCCTCGCCCTCAGATCACTTGGACGTGACTGTGATTACAAGAGGTAAAAACGATATAAATACTGTTTGTTTTCTCACACAAACCGCTCGTTTCGTGTCTTAGGCCATCAATGTGTACTTACTTTTACGAGGCATTAAATCATGTTTAATTTGGACTTCTCTGTACATGCTCTTTGTGGTGAACCCAGGGTGAACCCCATTATACGACTGACAGACAAGAACGGTTTGACCTAAAAATATCAAAATTGAAAACACTGTGGAAACATAGACACCTACATCTTGGATGCCCTTGAGGTAAGCTAAAACATATCAAAATTAATTTCAAGTGAACTATCCCTTTAATGAGGAAGCATGGTACAGCTCAGATGGTGTGAGACTGGCATGTGGCACTAGGCCGGGCAGACAGAGCCACAAGCCAGTGTGATGTGGTTAATAGACAGTTGACACAGCAACAGTGCAGCTAAAACCTGTAAATGACACCTCAAACAGACATGCCAGTAAGACACCTGCCAACGAAGGAAAAGAGGGGAGTGTGTGTCTGTGTGTGTTTACAAGACATATTGCCAGTTTTCCAGGACATATTGAGCTGATAGGATGCTTCACAGAAGAACTACAGGAGTTTATTCCAATAAAATAGGACAAAACGAGCAGATATGAACACACGAGTGCCAGAAACCCACTCAATTAAAATATGTACCACTGCTGGTCAGATGCAGGCAATAATTACTAGAAAGCCAATCAATGCTCCACTGACTATTTTAATATTATTTGATTGAATATTTTTCATTTTTTATACATCCATACACACACAGTATTTTTTCATTTATTTTTTTAAAGACAATTCAGTGAAAAAAAGTCAAGTATACCCTAAAAACAAATGGTTTATTGATTTATTGCACTTTTTGACCAATTTTAGTTTAATAACTGATTTAGTTGAAATTCCTGTAAAAGAGTGACAAGTTATAATGAATGGAAAAAATACACTATATAACTTAATATAGTTTACATTTTGTGATGATAAAAGCAATCAAGCCATTTAAATATGCCACATACTGTAGTATTTATCGCCCTATGTGAGTATACTTCATATATGTGGATATCTTATTTATCCAACTTTATATAAAGAGCCGGGTGATAATATATTTACCTTTTGTGACAGAATATGTTGCTTTACACTGTTTGTATACAGATAAAGTTGGATATATTAAAAGGTAAGAAAAATCAAACATAAAACTATAATGATATTGTATGTCACTGCCAAATCAGTGTGGAAGATCAGAAAATTCAGCAAGAGCAAATTAATATTCATGAGCTTAGACTTATTATTCATATACTGACTTTCTAGACATTATTTCAAAGAAATAGCTTTGACTTAGTAGCTTAAGCTGTCTGAGATACTCACAAGCCTTCTCTGCATCCATCGATGAGCGCCTGAAACAGTGGTTTGTTATGTGGGATGGTCTGCAGTATGTTGCCGTCACTGGTGACGTAGCCGATGGCCCACTGGCCTAACCGCGTACAACTCAGTCTGAAGATGTAGCTGGGGACAGTGTGAGAGAGAGCATTAAAAACAGCAAAGCACAAATGTTTTCGACAAACTTCTGTCACAATGGACAACTGGTCATAAACACATACTGTATTAGCTAGCATAGTTCATGTTTGTTGGTTGGATTCCAGGTGACGTTCTTTTAGCCACTGGAGGTTGTTGGCATGGTCATGAGCCTTTCCTCTGCTTGGGTTGATTACGTTAAAGAAATGATTTATTTGGGTAGAAACTGACAACAATACCAGTACATAACAGTTTTGATATCATAACAGCAATTATGAAATATCGAAGGCGATACATAACACAGGAGAGAAAAGCTGAACCATATGGATAACGTTTACTTTTTACTGAGAAATGTGAGAGGAAATTTTTCTCCGTTTTTGGAGTTATTCAAATACGTCTTTTGGTTATGTAACTGCTGAACAACAAATTCAGCCAGGATTAAGAGACTAGCTGGTACCAGACTGAACCTTTCCATTCAATATCCCACAGCGCCAGGGTGTCACAGACTGGCACTGAGGCTGGAAAAAAGAAAAACACTTTGGCTGACGGAGGAATGGAAGGAGAACAGGTTGACATTTCTCAGCAGGAGGTGGAAAGTTTAAACAAAGTGTCTTGAATACAGGTGCACAGAATTCGATTTGCAAAGGCAAATGTTCATTCTTTAATGTGAATGCGAATAAATGGACCAGACAATGGTTAGAAAGGCCAAAATAAGAATATTTGATATGATAAATGCAACACTGATGTAGAGCCAGACCGATATTATCGGCCGATATTAGGCATTTTCCAAACTACCGGTATCGGCAGTTATAATGGCCGATAAATGAATATTTCAAAAATAACATAAAAACAGAAACAGACGAAACACGCTTGAACCATGTCATGAGTGTTGGAGTTGTATAGTTTGTCCACCAGAGGGTACTCTACACGGTTCCTGTTGGCAACACTCATTGAATTGTTCACGATACATACATTGCTTGAATAACAATTAAAAGATCATCCCCATGAGTTCTCTTAACTCAAATAAGCATGACAAAATTTGTGACTATCATGTCCAGTTTAAAAAAATAAATAAAATATCGGCCGATATATCGGAATATCGGATTTTAAAACCCAAAAATATTTGTATCGGTATCGGCCTTCAAAATCCTTTATCGGTTGGGCTCTACACTGATGTTTTGCCATGTTTGAGCCACTATTTTGAGACATAAGACCACACACACACTGAGACTCGTAACACGAAAAGCTCATGGCCTGATGTAAGAGATCATTGCAAGATTTCTGAATTACATTAGAGTTATTTCTAACGCAGCAGCTAGGGATGAATGGAACTCTCTGTGTTAGATGTGATTAATCTGTAAATGCTCTACTATACTGCTTTCACACTGGACACAGCTCTGTTGATGCATTGTATAGGTCTCTACACTCTTGTTAACATTCTTTATCCTACCAACTCAACTCTCTTGTTAAATATGAGATTTGTTACAATCATTTTTTTACTGAAAATCCCTTTCCATATTCATAATTTATGTAGAGAATAAGCAAAACTCACTGAAACTGAAAAAGGGCATCAAAAGTGCTGTTTACACCTGGCCACTTCATGTGTTCTCTCAGATCGGATTTATCAAAACGATTCCATTTACACCTGGTCACATAAATGTGGTTTTGCAATCCGATCTTCAACTCCCGCGCTATGCAGATTTAATGGAGTGCACGTCACAGAAATCAACAGATATGAGCTGCGTTTTTTGATCACCAAAGATTAATTGTTATTTAAGTGAAATTACTGAACTTCAATATACAAGTTTGATAAAAATGATCATTAAAGAAGAAAATTTCAAATGGCATTTAGAGGCTTTGCATCTGAACTCTTCATATAGCACCTTTCCAGAAGCTCAAGGTCGCTTTACATTGTACATTCAATACATTTAGACACCCACATATGCATTACACTCACATAGGATATATATAATCACATTGTCCAAAACGCATGTTAAAAGATATGTTTTTAACTGGGTCTTGAAAGTAGCCACAGATGAGGTATTCCGTAGTTGAGGAGCATTATTTAGTACTTAAAGACCTACCAAGATCAGCTGATCTGAGAGACCGTGTAGGACGGTAAGGGTGGAGTAGGTCAGACAAATATTGTGGAGCAAGACCATTTAATGCTTTGAACGTTAGCAGTAAATGGTCTTTCTCCAAAATATTTGTCTGACCTACTCCATCCTACTCCTGTCTGTCCCTTACCATCCTACACGGTTTAACCAATACATGGACTATTTAAACAATATTTGAAGAGTTCAGATGCAAAAGCCTCTAAATGCCATTTGAAATTTTCTTCTTTAATGATGATTTTTATCAAACTTGTATATTTAAGTTCAGTAATTTCACTTAAATGGCGATGATAATTACCTATTAATTGTTATTTAAATGAAATTACTGAACTTAAATATACAAGTTTGATAAAAATCATCATTAAAGAAGAAAATTTCAAATGGCATTTAGAATCTTTTGCATCTGAACTCTTCATTTTTACCAGCTTTCTTGGTACTTTCAATGAAGTTGCTGTCAATGGAGGAACAGAAATCTCTCAGATTTCAGCAAAAATATCTTTATTTGTGTTCCAAAGATGAATGAAGGTCTTACGGGTTTGGAACGACATCAGGGTGAGTAATTACTGACAGAATTAAAAACTATCCCTTTAAGCATTGAGGTTGGAAAAACTGATTCAAGAATGATTTGTTCATGAATCAAGCATTATCACACAAAGTTAAGTTCAGAAGACCACTTTAAAAAAAAAAGTGTCATTTTGGCTCAGTCATCATTTACTTTCATGTGACAAGGGTTTTCTTCAAAAATGGATTTCCAGCCATTAATGTTTGCTTCTTGAGGTAATTTAACTCCCAACGGCTGCACTGTGGCACTGTGCAGACACAGGTCCTGGTGGGCCGAGATCACAGACTCAATGTGAATGACCAGAGGAAGAACTGTCAAGTCACAAATACCCTCAGAGTCATTACACATAGATCATAAAAAGCTCTGAGCAGCTGTGTCGACAGCGGTAGAGAGTGTGTGAGCATGTCAAACACTTGATTTTACCAGGTGACAGTTACGGGTAGAAATGTGAAACATATAGTCCCCTTGGGTGCCACCAAGACCTTCTCTAACCACACACACACACACAGCTGTTGCTCCTCTTCAGTAGATTGGTATTTGCATACAGTTCAGCTCGACCACCCACCATCCTCGACTTCCGTCTGTTTGTTTAGCCACATCTCTCCAACCCACATCAGCCATTTAAAAAGGCCCATCTTCCTGGTGAAATTCAAACAAGAGGGAGCCCTCTCCCATAAAGTTTCTTATTTTATGGCCTCGCTATTATCTTGCTGTTGCGTTAAATGACTCTAACCAGTGTGTAATCGTGCCTGCCGTCTGGCTCTGGACCTCAGAGTTGTTTCAGCACTGATGCAATGCCATGCTGTCTCTAATCAGCTAATCCAAACAGCCTGGATTTAACTACCGCTGTCTCCCTGTGGCACAGTCCGCCACACTTGGTGTACTGGTATGGTACAATCTGGGCTACCAATGCAAAGGTCATGAGTGTATTTCCAGATTATATTGATCCTAGAAGCAGTGCTGACAAGAGTCGGCGAGAGCATAAGCACAGACAAAGAGACTCCTGTAATAAGCTAACATCTCCGCCTCGCCCACTTTCCCATGCAAGCGGGGTCGGCTGCCAGACTGGAGAAAAACAGCTGGCTGGCGCAGAGCACCACGCAGCAGATGGTATGTCTATTACAGCCATCCAGTTACTCACAAACACACACACACACACACGCAGACTAGTCTGTACCTGCCAGGTTTGTTGATGTACTTCTGCAGACGGGCCTTCACTTCATCATATGTCAGGAAGGCCATGTAGCCTGGGTGCGTGACTGCCAGAAAGTTCCAGTTCCTCAGGATTGAGCCCCATGGCTACAGGGAAGAGAAAAGTATTAGAGATAGAGGTAGTGGCTTTAGAAAGTCTATAATACTTGGTACTTCAAATAGCTCAGAAAACAGAAGTCAGACTGGAATGCAGCAGCATTCATTTTATTTTTTACCATCACTGACCTCCCAGAGAGTTACATCAAGATGGCTTTAAAGCACCAAATAAACTCAGTTAATATCCCTTGTAGCTGGACATACAACTTCAAAAAGTGTTAGAACAGTAATACAATTAGATTTGTATCTAAATCTAACTTAGTGGCAGTTGTTTTAATAGAAACTCGGCACAAACACAAATTAAACATTTAACAAAAAGTGTTTTAAATTCTAAATTAATAAATACGCAGTCCAAAATGCTGACTAAAAACAGTTTTTTTAATGTATGAATGTTACATAAAATTAAAACAAGAGGTGGGGGGGGTGGGGTAAAACCATGTGCTAATCATTTTAATGAAAGAGCACAAACAATTTTTAAACTATATATTTAACAAAAAGAAGTGCGCTAAATGAAAAACTGCAATATATGCGGTTTATAATGAAAATTAATAATAATATCTGGAAGTAAAAGTAACACTATCTGGAAGTAAAATGTCCTTTATAGTTCATACATAATGGTAATGGGGAAGTGAATTGATCCATTAAAGATCTAAAGAAAAGTGAAGTTAGTTCTGAGAAAAGATCATTTGTTTGCAGATGCTGTTTTTTAATTTTTAAAGGTTTTTTTAATGCAAAGGACTCCCAAATATGATGATCCCCTGGTTCTTTTTCATGTATAGACCTGTTTATACTGTGTGAGAATTGTAGAATTTAATGACAATTTTCTTAAAAAAAAAAAAAATAGCTTGTATATTCTCACTGTACAAAAGGTATTTATAAAAGATTATCTAGAAATATTTACTTTTTTACTTACTTTTTCCCAAATCACAGATCATTTTAGATGTATGGATTTTACATAAACCGGAAGATATTCGATTCAATTCAGATTTATTTGTAAAGTATTGTTCCAAAGCAGCATATTTTGATATGGGATTGTGTTAAACTGTTAAACATTAAATATATTTAAATATAAATATTGATTTATTGGTATTTATACTAGGGCTGTGCAAAAGTTAATTGCGATTAATCGCATCCAAAATAAAAGTCTGTGTTTACATAGTATATTTGTGTGTGCTGTATATAATTATTTTGTATATATAAATACACACACATGCATGTATATGTTTAAGAAAATGTGTTATTCCTATATAAAATATTTATATTTATATAATATAGATTATGTATTTTTATATATATACAGAATTTAAGCGCAAATAATTCTTAAATATATACATGCATGCATAGGTATTTATATATACAAAATAATTATATACAGCACACTCAAATATATTATGTAAAACAGACTTTTATTTTGGATGCGATTAATCGCAATTAACTTTTGCACAGCCCTAATTTATACACATTAATCTATTAAAATGCTCACTTTGACAGCCCTAAAGACATCTTTTATTGGCTATTTTCATCTCACCCTGGACTGTAGTTTCATAACCCCTGATCTATAATGCAATGAAATGATATTTAGACAATTTTTTTCAGACTGACTTGAACATCCAATACTTTGTTTCTTTGTGCATTTTTAAATAAACTCATCTTGACATGACAACTAAATGAAAAGCAGCTGGGACTCAAACAGAAAAAAAGTTTGTTCTGTTTCCTTTTTCCTCTTACAAGCCGACTGAACTAATCAAGCAATTTCCAAAAATCGTGAGAAGAGCTAAAAGGAGACGTTTGGATGTTCAAATGAGCAGGGTGTAGTTTTGTTGGCTTTGGCTGTTAAGGTAGCGGGGGTCGTGTGTGGTGATTCAGCCGGGGGAAGGTCACATGATGATCAGAAGCTCGGCATGAGACATAAACTCCATTTTGATCGCTGATTGACTCACACGCATAAACAGATCCACGCTAATGAAATGATGAGGGCCCTTTCAACACATTTATGGGAATTTTAGTATTTTTTTTGCAGCTTGCAGGCTTGAGTAGGTAGACAAATAGTGGGTGTTTTGCAACCGATACGTAATAAAGCTTGTGCAAACACAGGTTTTCAAGCATGAGTGTGTTGTGGTCAAAGATGAGGTGAGTTTTTCTAAGGGATTCCTCTGTGTAAAACAAACCTCCCACTCTACACTCATTTGCAGAGGTGATCCCCAGTGTTAGCACTATTTTCCATCAGCACGAGGAAACTAATGACTACAAAAAATGTTTTCAATTTAAATGTGGTTTGTGAGACATCTATGTACAAGGTTTCTCCACAGAATGAGTAGATCGACCCACACTGGAGACAGAGAAAACAAAGGGTGTGCCTTCTGTCTTGCTTTCGTTATTGCGATTAGCTGTTTTCAGAGAGAAGTTGACATTTAAATGCTATCATCTGGAGATCTAACGTGTTTGTCGTGGTGAGAAAGTTGGTTTTAGATGAGATTTAGGGATTTGAGGAGTTCGGGGGTTACCTGGAAAAGACGAGTGAAGATGTCGAACTCAAAGACAGAGATATAGTCATTGCAGGTGAGGTCGATGGTAGATTTCAGAGCCATGGCCTCCAACCCGGAGCTGATGGGATGCACGTCGTGAAGGCACTGCCGGAACATTTTCCATGACACTATTGTTCTGGAATTACACGAAACACACAAATGCACGGTGGGATTAGACTTGTGTAAATCCTTCAAGAAATGCATCCAGTTGCTTTGGGCTATAAACACATGAACTGAATCAGACATCAAATCCTTAAATCGCTGGCCTGTGAAAACACTGAAGCACTAAACATTTCTGAAGATAATGTGAGTGGTTGCCATGAGTGTGTACAGTATAATATAAATGTAGTGGAAAATACTCAAAACAATATGCACTGGGAGTCTATGGGTTAGCTGAAAGTCCAAGGGTTCCTCAAACTTGTAAAATGAGTGTACAAATCCCACACATTAAAGAATATTAAAAAGAATTTAGTACTAAAAGGACATTTCTAGCCTGCTTTTAACCCTCTGAAAAAAACAGACTTATGGTGCGTTCACACCGGACGTGAATAGTGCGTCAGGCGCGAGGGATTTCAATGTTAAGTCAGTGTAAAAAGGCGTTACACGTGTAAAAAATTCCTGCGGCGCGAATGAGGCGTAGATCGCGGCACAGTAGACGCGAATAATCGCGCTTCAAGTTTGCACAAATTGAGCATCTGGCGCATTAAGCGCGAATGATTTAGTTAGTGCTATTTGTATCACGCGTTTGATGCGAATTCGTGCCTGACGCCCGTGTTGAAAAATCTGAACTTTGGCATCAATTCGCATTGCGTTAACCAATCAGGAGCCTAGCTGCTTGCTCACATGGTGAAGTATCTGGATGGTCAAGAGCGCCAATTTCGCTCTTGACGCGCGAATGGATTCAAAGTGTTCAAGCGTATAACTGGACGCGGTAGGCGCGAATTTGACGCGCTATTTGTGTCTGGTGTGAACACACAGTAAAAGAAACAATGTAAAGTTGATCGATTTAGGAATTACTGTTTTCAAAGCCTGCACCGAAATACGACTGATTCACCAAATAATCCACAGTGAAATATCTACAGAGACATTCACATAGTTAATAAATAAGCACATTCCTAGCATTAGGATCCTTTGAAAGGTATAGTTATTTTTAAGAAGTGATCTCACTAATGCGCTAATGCGCCAGTTGGCGGGGCCAAACACCCGATGATGTAGAAGTAGCTGTTGATCATCTTCTGCAGAGGCGTTCTTTCAAATATCTATGACGTCATAAATCGGCACTTTCCAAAACGAGCCATTTTCAGACTAGGTTTCAATAAAAGCTGTTTTGAAACTAACAAGAAAGCGTTCAGTTCTAAAACATACAGGATCCTCCTATAGTATGGTGACGTCTTATACAGTAGCATATGTCAAAAGCTAAAGGAAAATTTGATTTCTCAATTCATTACCTCTTCAAAAAACAAAAACACATTCGCAAGAATGACTAAGAACGCAAGTCTTATGCTGTATCCGTGCCTATGACTGTAAACTCTTATTCACGTACTGTAAAAATGTTGTATGCATTCCCCTGGTGGTCTATAAGAGACACAAAATGGAGGTCGTGAGGTGAATAGCAGAGCATGTGGAGAAAAGTGCCGCCCACACACTGCTTCGACTTTTCTTAAGAACGGTTTCATAAACACTGACCGCCACAAATTGACCAGTCAACACTTTCAGACACAAAAACACACTCAGAAGAAAAAAAAACAAAAACAAAGTAGAGCTGTTTCTTAAGCCAGTTCTCTTTAACAAAAAAAAAAAAAACAACACTTCAAGCAAATGGCACATCATATTCCTTCAGGTAAGAAAAACAAAATCGTCACACTAATAACCAGAGGACCTACTGCTCATTATTTTGACAACCTGACAGTGCCAGCCACCCTGAGAGAGCATTTACCCATCATTCCTGTGACTCCTGTTGGATGCTGATTCTTAGATTGCTTTGGGACCAAAACCAAGAACTTCCCATTTTGTGAGCAGCCTGAGTGAAACTTGTTATGGATTAAAACAGTTATACTGGATTGAGGATCAGACCCTGCTAATCAGGTCAATAAAGAGACAATAGCGTGGAAGATGCGCACTGAATCAGACAGACCAGCAGGTTAATGAGGAAACATCAACTCTGCTGATTCTAATTAGAGAGGGCAGTGGCCTGCTGGCTAAGTCTCAACACATACAGAAACCTTTCTTACACACATGGTTAACCAATCTAAATGAAAAGAACATCTTCTTGACTTCTATTGCTCTTTAAAAAGTTATTAAATTAATTATTAATACAATATTAAAATTCCCTTCCTATACTGGAAGATGTGATTCTGATTACAGTTTTTGGTTACACTTTACTTGAAGGGGTGTGCATAAGACTAACATGACACCTTCATAATCATGACATGTTATGAATATGAAGGAAGTTTTATGCATGTATGTGACAACTGTCATTAAGTGTCATTCGCTCGGTTATGACATTTTTAATGCTAATATGACATTGTTTGAGATGACAACTTGATATAAACCAATACATCATAACCTGTCAGTGTCTTTGTCATGACAATTTGACAACACAACCTGTCATAAACATGACATAGCAGATTAATATCAAACTTAAGATTAAGAAACCACCTAGCTTTATGTGTTAACATTATATTAAACTGTCAGGTGGTTGGTTTGTCATGAGGCTATTATAACATTTTAATGACAAATTCAATTAGTACCACTGTAGTTGAGGTCACGAAAAATATTCATGACAGTTATAATGACCTCATGACAGCCAATGTCAAAGCCAACCACATGACAGTTTAACTTAATTTTAAGTTGTCATGACAAAGACACTGACAGGTTATGATGTATTGGTTTATGTCAAGATGTCATAACAAAGACATCTTAAACAATGTCATATTTGCATTCAAAATGTCATTATTGAGCGAAAGGCACTTAAATGACAGTTATCATATACATGCATAAACCTTACTTCATATTCAAGACATATGTCATTTATTGGTTATGAAGGTGTCATGGCAATCTTATGAACACCCGTTCAATTAAAGTGTTACCCAGTTTTAACTGTAATTTAATAATGAAGAGACACTTCAAAGGTCCTAAGTTTAACTAAATGTAGCGAGTCACTTGTATGTTAATTTCTATAATCTTTATGATTCAAACTCATTTTCATTTCATCATGTCATGAGTTTTGTGCATGATGCACCTTCAGCAAGTTTAAACTGCAGTTTAGCATGGAACCTTTACAGAGCAGAATTGTGTTTTGCATATGTATTAATCAGCATCCGCAGCGAAACGGCACAAAAGTGCTGATGCATCGCCAGGAATAAGGAAACACACCCTGGCTTTCTGACACACTTGCTAAACGCCGGTCAGTGCGGTGAAAAAAACAATGAATCAATCTGGTGGGTTTACTGGAGGGTAGAGAAAGAAAAGCTTGGCTCATTATCCCATATGGAGCGTTACAAGTCATTTTTTTTACCTCTTAAACTGTCACTGGTGCGCATCAAGCAGCTGGACGGAAGAGCTGAGCGTGGTTCTGTGAAGAAAGACGAGATCTAGTTTAATTACATGTTTTAGAATAGCTGACCTCTTAATTAAGGAAGACTTTTTAATGGGCTAAGGGCATCTCTCAGTGGATGACATAAAAGGAAGCTCATTAAGGACCCTGTCCTTGCCAATTACTGATCCAGGGCAGGTGTAAAGACGCACATAATTGCATCATGCCAATAAATAAATGAGTGAATGGGTGGAGACCGGAGAGCCACAGCGAGGCAGGAGGCGGATTTCTGCATGCATTTAAAGGCATCAATAATCCTCAGCAAAGTGTTGTGCGTCAAGAGAAACTAATTGGGTAAAATTCTGAATCAGAGTGCCAGCTCTGGGGCGATTCGGTTGTGTGATAATCCATGTGCTATCAGAGTAAAATCAGCGAGTGCATTATTTTAATTCACTAAACAGCTGCCGCCAGAGTAAGACAGAAAACAGGCAGCTCAGTCGGTGGCCTTCAGTGTTGCCACTGGAAACTGCGCTCCTATTGGCCCGTGGCCACTTACCGCATTTAAACCGATTTGAGTCTCTGTGGACAGAAGGGAGTTTAATAAGAAAAATTAACTTGGAAACAAATCTCTCCGTCCTCGACCCGTCAGTCAGCCAAACAGCGGGACGTTTATATGAACTGATAATGAGGAAACAGTGCTGCTTCTCTTTTTTTTCCCCTCATTATATCATCTGCATATCAAATGCCCACAATGCATCTGCTCTGGGTTAGTCTGTACATCATTATCTATGCTAGACCCGTCTGAAGACAGAACTGAAACTGATCTGAGAACGGTGTTCGGATGAGAGAGGGGGAGGTAACTTATAACACATATATTCCATTCTCTATGCATGGTTACTCTGAGTAAAAGCTTTGTATTCCATTAAGTGGCACAGACAGAGAGAGAGAGAGAGCATATGACTGATATTTTCTTTCTAGTCTTAGAGCATTCTGACCTGATCGATGAATTACTGCAGTGACAGGACAACAGTCTTATTTTTCAAGGTTTAAAGAATCCATCCAATAACTATTATGGTAAATGTTATATATAAATCGCAAATTTTTTCACAAATTTTTGGAAATTACCACCACAAAATCAGTCATTTTGATCGCAAAAAATCACACAAAAAAAAATCGTGAAATCCGGGAGGGACTGAATAAGGTCTAGAGAACAGGTATATACACAGCAGGGTCCAAAAGTCGGATATCACGAACTGAAAATGCTTCAATTTCGCCTTTTTCCCCACAAAAAAATTTTTTATTAATAATTTTACCCAATTTTTTTACCTTTTACCTTTAAACAAGCTCATTTATTTGGTTTCAATGTACAAACACACGCACAGACATGCTTACTATGTAGGAACTGTAACTCTGCAAGCTTCAAATCTGAGCTTTAGTGCTCACTGGATTGATGGCATGAGGATGCTGAGCTTTCTATTTCCATACAGAGAGAGAGAAAAACAGAGATAGAAGAGCTAAAGGAAGGCCGCTCTGTTTCTCGTATCAATGACTCATGCACACTTCCTCTGTACAGAGCGGGAAGTAGACCTTTATAATAATCTATAATATATCAGAGCAGTAACAAGATACACACTAGAGACTGCTCCGGTCTTTTCCCATCCCTCAATCTCTCTTTCTCTCTCCCCTTCTTTTGCTTTTCCTCTCTGGGATAGCTAATCACACATGCCCCATTATGAGGCCTTCCCGTCTCTAGCAAGGTCTGTGTATCCGTGCATGCATTTACACTTCCTTTAACCCTCCGATTTGCTGGATTAAACAGAAGATAAGATATGCCACAGAAATTGCAAATGAATTAAACATTGCAAATGTTTTAAACACCTCTTAAAGATCTAGAGAGATCTGCGCTCATATGATTTTTCTGAGAGTTGCGCTTGGAATGGAAATCAGCTTTATTCAGATTTAATCCAATATTATTAATAATTAAATAATCATTTTTTTTTCCTCCTATCAGGAGAACCAACTAAAATTAGAGTCAAAGAATGCTTACAATTAAAAATACTAAATTTATCCAGTCAAGAACAGGGAGTGATTTTCTCTTTATCTTTTGTTCTTTGATTAACATGATAAACAGTAGCAGGTTTATTAGGCTCCTGTCACTTTAAGAGCTTATGCATGGATCTAATATATTGTTACACAACAGGCATACTAACCTATTTACGTAAAAAAAAAAACTGACTGTTTTAACCTCAATACTCAACATGACTGGCATTTTGACATAATTTTGTGTGTATTTGACCGTTTAAGCGCAATTAACCATGAAAAGGAGCTCAATTTGCTGCTCGTGAGCTGTTTGAGAGGCGGCTTTATACACAAATTATAAAGATCAGCGTTAAACCAGTAGAAATTTGAAAAATTCAAGCACTATTCGATTCGATCGAATGAGATGAGTGACAATTTTTTACTGTATTACTACTATATTATTCTCTGGAAATCATTTTAAACCATTTTAAAGAAAAACATAAATCTACTGTAAACACAATTAAAAATCATTACCCTTTAGAACACAGAATATATTTTTTTCCCATATTTTATTATTATTTTTTTTCCATGGACCACCTAGTACTTCATGAGGGTGCCCGTATCCCGGTTTAAAAACTCAACTAGCCAAAAAAAAATCGACTAACTTCCACAACGTTATCTACTCTATCTATACGCTGGCAGTACAGCAAACTGAAACTCTTCCCAGCAAAAAAGCCAAGGCTGGTCAAGGAGTCTGAGAAAACTCATATTCCAGAATTAAGACAGAGGGTAAAGACACTTAATGCTATCTATTAGAAAAAAAATCATCTAACCAGTGACCTTCACCTCACAAACGCTGACTAAAGCAGTTAGGAAAGGCATTATTGAGTCTGGTTTAGTGTGCAGATGTATGCTAAATCACAGGGCTGACTCAAGAACAGCACTCCAGCACATGACCAGACAGTTCACCCCAATTACTCACTGCTAAATGGAGGAGAGAAAAAGCCTTTTCTCCAAGACAATTGTTTTAATTGATTTGAGCTCTAATGATAGACTGGAAAGTTTGCATCTAATTTGCCAGATACATCTGGAAACGAGAAGAAAACTCCTCAAACTTACTTATCGCCAAAAGACCTTCTCCAAAATTCGGCGGCGTCTGCCTTGGTAATGCGGAATGTGTCTCCTTGGAACTGTCCACCTAGAAAGATGGCTTTAATCTCGGCCAACATGTGACTGAAGATCAGCGAGAGCTTGGTGAGGTTCCGTCTGCAAGAGAACAAAGCACAGGTTAGAGACACACAAAGAGAGAAAAACGGACTCTCAGCATTCTTTATTGAGCCAGTTTCTTGTCCTTGACCTTGTCTGGAAGTTAATGTGCCGCACACGTCTCCAGTACAACAGCGTGAGGATACAGTGCAATCTGATGCACGCAGTCTGAAGGGCATGTCGTGGCCACACCAGAAAACAAACACTCACTGGGCTACGGCCAACAGAACAGAGACGACTACTTCTGAACACTAAAATGACTGACTGTCTACAGAGATGTATAGTCAATAAACAGATTTTTGAATTCTGAATGTATTTTTTTCTACAAACTAAAGTTTTTCAACAACAATTTTGTGACTATAGAATTATTTTGCAAATCAGACTTTTTTATATATATAAAAATGAATAAATATACAAATATATAAGAAGTTTTAATATAGATAATTTGGGACTTTGTATAAATAATTATTCTATTCTTAATAATAACAGTATTATTATTATTATGAAATGGATAATATTAATAAAAATTTTACTTAAAAATCCCATACATTTTCTCTATAAAATATTCATTTGCAAATTCATTATTCATAGAAATTATTATATATATTTGTTGAGTATGCAAATAATGCAGTAAAACAATGAGTTTATGACTCATTGATGAATCATTCATTTTATTTTGCACCATTGTGTCAGTCGCAATGCTCGTGGGATGCATATATAGTATATATATCACAGAATGAATAAGTGGGATGCGGACAATATTGTATGACTCTCAAACAAATTGTTCTTTTGATTGAATATTTTTTATGGATTTGTTTAAACTTTTCACTTCACAAGGCGCCTCAAATAATTTAATTCCAATTTGTATGCCACTCTTTCATAATTCAAATGCACAAGTACATGAAATAGTCGTTGCTTAAGTTTAAAGCTTGTACTAGTACTTTTCCCAAATGTTACAGTATGTTAACCTTGAGTATCTTTACTTTCACTCACACGTACCTACTGAGTAATTTATAAAACAGTCCTGTAGACATGCAAACAAATATAATTAGTTACACCATCTCTAGATACCACAAGTCATTAATATTTTCAAAGTTGTGTTGCAAAGTGACTTTTCCCATATTGCCTTTTGGCTGGCAGAAAGAGACTAGTCCTCAGGGGCTTGTCCCCTTCCTCTCCCTGTGCCGTCCTCCTGTGGGATTAGAGCGGGAAGATAACCCACCTTTCAGAACAACCTTTCAGGTGGCACTCAATTACGTGGGGCCACTCAGCCCGAGGGAGGTCGAGAGGAACCGGGCTGCAAGCCGTAGATAACTAGCCCCTCTGAGGCACAACAAAACACACACAAACTTCCAGAATTCACAGCGGTATTTTGTAAAGCTGCAATTGGGCACCTGGAGCTCCCAGGAGCATTGTCGAAATTCGCACCAACCGTCTCGGTACGTGCAAACAATTTCATCGGCATCAGACCCTATTTCGCATTTGAATTTCTTGTCTAAATCTGGGTGTATATAGAGACCCATTCGTTAGTGTGCTGTATTAGCGTAGCTTCCTGTCAAAACATAGCTGTTACAAAGCAATTAACACGTTAGCAGCGATGCGGAACCGGTGAGAAAGGAGAGAAATTGGCAGATGAGACTGGGGGTCAAATACAGAGGTGTATTTTACTTCAGCATCTCTATTATTCGAAGTTGTTTTAAAGCGCTAGTCATAATCAAGAGTCATTTAAACAGTTTTAAACTATCAGTGATGCATGATCCCACCACCCAAACCAGTTGAGCAGAAATCCCACCCTGCTGTGAATTTCATTGGTTAAAGGAGCTGTATGTGAGAAATGTATTTCAAATAATCATACAATGGCCCTGATATGTCATTAGACATTAATAAATCATGTTCATTTCAAATACTTATATCACTGACAACAGTAGTCCAGCCAAGATATTGTCATTTAAAAAGTGAAGTTGCAGCCCTCAACTGATGTTGATGTTGTCATGTTGTGTTTTGGTCTGATGCTCCACCCTCCACCGATCTACCAATCACAAAGTCAGTATGTTGCACCATCTGGGTTGCCAGCTCTGCTCTAGTTACCACAGCTGCAGATACAAACCAGTCGGATAAAACAATGTTGGACCCTTCAGCCTATCTGGCAACCTCGAGGGATCAGGGGGCGGAGCTGGGGAGGTTTAGGGGTGGGTTTAGGGATCAGGGGGTGGAGCTGGGTAGATTTAGGGATCAGGGGGTGGGGCTGGGTAGGTTTAGGGATCAGGGGGTGGGGCTGGGTAGGTTTAGGGGTGGGTTTAGGGATCAGGGGGTGGGGCTGGGTAGGTTTAGGGATCAGGGGGTGGAGCTGGGGAGGTTTAGGGGTGGGTTTAGGGATCAGGGGGTGGAGCTGGGTAGGTTTAGGGATCAGGGGGTGGGGCTGGGTAGGTTTAGGGGTGGGTTTAGGGATCAGGGGGTGGAGCTGGGGAGGTTTAGGTATATGTAAGGTGGGAGGAGTTGGATCTGGATCCGACTCCTCCCCGTGGATTTCATGTTCTGCAGTGAGGAGGACCATCTCAGTTTGGCCACAATCTTACATACATACAGCTTAGTGACAGGTAGGTTTAGGGATCAGTGTTTGGTGTAGGAAATGTGTACAGTGATTGACATGACCAATGAAATCTTTATAAGAATCTGCGGGGCAGGATTTCCACTGAACTTGTTTCGTGTCAGTGATAAACCGGTGTGAGAAACTTGTTTAGTTCTCAATGATATTTATTGCAATAAAACTCTTTTCAGCCTAACTTAGCCGAGGGGATACTTTTATTTCTTTATAAGTCTCTGATGAACCCAACAGTGAACATTTCTCTCCATAAACTTCAGCTCAGTTAATAACTCCCAAGTCTTCAAGTTTTCAATATGGTGAGTCATTTTATCGCCCCATTTAAAGCAGTAATACTGAAACTGCTGAGGGATTCATATATATTCAGTGTCAGTCTGGAGAGAGGTAAGCTCAACTGACACAGACTGACTGGGATGACTCTGGGCTAGCTTTTTTGATAATAAAATTAACACACACACACACACTACCATTCAAATGCTTGGCGTTCGTACTTTTTTATTATTAATAGTTAATACATTTCTTCACAAGGCAAATTAAATTGATCCTTAAACGTATTTACGGCATTTTTGATCAAATAAATGCCAAATAAATACATAAAATAATACTTTTCAAAAACTTTTTAAGAATATTATAAACCCAAATCTTGGAGCGGTACTGTGTGCTCATTTATTAATGATGACATGCATAATCTAACTGCAAGTTGGTAAAACAAAGCTGAATATAATTGCTTTACACTACAGTATATTGTAAACTGAACATTGACTTGTAAAGTCAGTAATGTCATTTGTTTCAAATATTTTACAACACATTTTCAATTAAAGAGCGAGTTAGTAACGATACAGATTTAATCTACACCAATAGTTAAGAAAAAGAGTCAGATGTTGATTCACTTGAACTGGCTCATATGTCATTTGATCAGCCTCAACAAATTCTCCATTTGAGTAGTCAAACTCATCTGATGTCTAACATTTACATACATATCTAATCTTTAACATCCGACAACATCCAACCTACATCAAACATGGTCACACCTGCTGTCTTCATATCTATCACAAGAAATTAGAGACTAGTTGACACAGGAACTACACTATAATGTTTCAATAACACTGAGAGAGTGACACCATTACAAGGATGAATCCTAGATGCTCATGTGCTGTTGAGTTCACAGCGATCATTTAAGCTTCAACACCTCTGACACACACCAGTTCCCAGCCATGTCTTTGAATCATTTAAACCCAATCCATGCGGTACAGACTGATAACATGTCACATGCTAGCCACAAAAGCCAGGGAGAAGACAGTACACCTTTGAGGACACATGAGTGACGGATACACCGAGAGAGTTAATCCTAGTACAGAGGCTTGTCCTGAGGTAAGAGAAATTGAATTTAAGACAGAACAATAATCTCTGCCCACGGGCAACTAACGTATGCTAATTCCCTCTGTGCTGCCAGGGTGGATGAGGGTTTTTTATGTGCCTCACCTCTTATCGAGAGGAGCGGGGGTGTGCTTGAACAGAGCCATTACTTCATAGTACACATGGCTACCTCACGCAACACCACAGCTCAGCAGGATATGGCTGGAGCTTAATCTGGGATATGCAAAACTACTCTGCAAGTCATTTACAAAACAGCTACAAGCCAAGGGCAAAATACGTGTATGGAAATGACTGAAAGAACACAGTATATTCTTTGTAGGGCTGTGGTCAACAAAAGAAATTCTTAGTCGACCAGTCTTGTCCTGCGCAACGATTAGTCGACTAAAAAAAAAAAAGACGCAATGTTTTGATTGAACATTTTTTAAACAATTGTCATAGAGCATTTATAAAAACAACAATGAAAAAACATCAATAACACAAAAAACTATAATAATAATTATACAATTCTTTGAAAATTAAGTGATTTCTTTTAGGTCTATAGTAACAGTTACAATTGCGCACCTCTTCTTTACTTTCTTTACTTTCAAAGCTATGGGTTAACTTTTGTCCGACCGATCTAGGCATTTTAAAACAAACACACAAAATACCCAAATAGCCTAAAAACAATCCTAATAATAATAGGCTGTATAGTAGGAAAGCATAGGTTTATGCCTTTGTTACCTTTGTTAATTTTGTTACCTATTTTCAAATGCGTCAAGTGTACAAATAAAAACAAAAACATAAGAAAACACAATCTATTGAGTCAGCATGATAAAGCCATTAAAGGCCCTGCTCACGTCTTTTGCGTGCTCAATTCGTTATTTCAAATGTGTGCTTTTTTTTTTCCAAGTGCGTCCGTGCCGCATCGAGATAAAACCATCTCAACTTTTCAGAATGCCACATTGGCCGTTGAGCTATGGTAAGTTAGCTGTAGGCCGCATAGCTTGCAATCCAAATATTAAAAAGTTAATAATAATAATAT